ACTCCCTATACCTGTTGGTCGCACCTGCAGCTTATAAAAGCATATGCTTCAACAGTTGAATCCTGGAGGACCTCTGACCCTGGGATGTCGCAGGGAAGCATTGCTGAAGGGGTTCATTCCAAAGAGCGGCAATTGTGGAACCATATGAAAAGACAATGTTGGCATTTGCAAGCCAGGTGGAGCCAACAGTGAGTATGACTTTGGCATTGGAGGGCTGAGTGTTAGGACAATGGCAGCAGTTACAAGCCATACAGGGGCAGGGGAGCCCCTGTATGTAATTTCAGGCATCAGGAGCCACTCAGGAATGACGGTCAGGATCACCACAATCAAACAGGGAGGTAACCGAATTATGTGTCAGAAAATTTTGAAGAACTTTCTGACACAGAAGAAAACAGCAAGTACTCTGATCATTTCCACCTCCAAGCCCAGTAGCCCCATATTGTGGGTACGCTTGAGAGCACGTTAACACCTCAGGCAGCCAGCAGTAAGCAGGGGAAAGTGGCCATTAGTCTATAGCTAAGACGGTAGCATCAGTGACCCCAAATAAAATAATATAGCAGCCAATGATATTTAGGGGCCTGCTGGCCAACTCCTCAAGGCCAAATGCTGACTGTATCCTGGATGAATCCTCAGGTTTGCATATGGGCAAGGGCAGTGCAGCAACATTTTCACTTCCACACTAACATACCCAGCTCTATCTATGCCAAAGCTGAATTATCACATTGGGCTGAGTTAACTCTGTCCAACTCTTGGCAAACATTGAAACGCATCTGGCTTGCCTGATTCAAGAATAGGTGGAATAGTTCCTATAAGTCTCATTGCTTTCATGGTCTGGAAGCTTTATTTTGTTATCCCCATTTATATAGTTTATTTTCTTTATAGATTTTATTTTATTATTTTTTAGAGTTCCTACGTTTGTGCAATTTTAGTAGTTTACATAGCTGTTATTTATATAGATTTTTAGTTTATTTGGTTTTGTGCCAAGTTGACTTTTTGCACAAATGAAAAGGTAAATTATATTCTTGCATTATAATTTCCTTGTTTTTCTGCCTTTTGAAAATGCTGATTGTATTCAATGTCAACTGATGTACCTGAAGGCTTCAACAATACCTTCTGAGAGCTTTCTTGAGAGTTTCACTTCGAAAGATCTGAGGGTTTCCATGTCTTAGTTGAATTTTCATAGATATTTTTGAGAACTTTGATGATTTGATGCCAATGAGACCTTATTCAATACTACCAAAATACTACCACGTCTTTGGCATCCACAAATGCTGTCATTCATCCCAAAGAAGAACCTTTGTTATTGAGCAATAAAGGCAAAATCAATGTTCAAATTTTCTGGTAGAGTTGAATCAGAAGGAGAAAGGATTCGTGTTTATACAATGATTTTCATGGACTCAGATGCCCAATGCAGTTTACAGCCAATAAAATATTTTTAATGTGCAGTCACTGTTGTAATGCAAGAAGCATAGCAACCAATTGAACACAGCAAGATTTCACTGACAGCAATGAGATAAAAGGCAGACAATCTACTTTAGCAACATTGGTTGAGTCTTTAACATTGTTAATGACAAAGAGGTAGCTCTTCTGCAGAAAATGCCTTGTAACCTTTTAATTGAACCTAAGAGGGCACGTGGAGCTTCAGCTTAACATTTCTTCAGAAATATAACGTCAAAACTTGGGCAAGGCTGGAGAAAACTACAGTCCTCCATAGGTTAGTAAGGCAGTTGTGTACTGTTCTGATACCCCGCCTTAGCGCTTTTTTTGATATTGAAAGACAGAGTCCATCTTGCTTCAATTTTGAGCTTACTTCCACCACACAAATCAGAGTCCTAAACAATTTAAAGAAACTGAGATCCTGGAAGAATTTCACAGGACCAATAGCACAGTTTGTTTCTTTAGTATTAAGAATTTTAAAATAGTTCCTTTCAAAAGTTTTCTAAGATAATTATCATAGTATATCAATAGCAAATGGCATCGATGAACTTACACTGACAAGAAATATGAAAACCATTCATTTAATTTCATTTTTTCCAAACAGATATTTAACATTAATTATTGCAAGAATTGAGCTTAAACATGCCTAAATAAAAGATCTCTCACTGAATTTTCAAAATGTTTAGCTCTTATTGAACCTTTTCCCATTGTTTACTTTTGAGTTTGCTTACAGAAACAGATGTATGTGCATTTGAGTTTGCTTACAGAAACAGATGTATGTGCTGAATTTAAAATAGAAAATGCTGGAATACTCATTAGGTCTAGTTCCGATCCTACTCGCTCAAGTCCTGCAGATACAGCCAGGATGCCACCTCTTGGACCTCTGATGTCAAAAGAACCAAAGCCTCATCAGAAGCGGCAGTGAGGCTGCCTCCTACTCCCCCACTAGCCCAAATAGTGAACAACCTAACCGACAGCCCAAAACAAGGAGTGCTCAGACTCCCAACTGGTGTGTGTCCATTTCCCCATCCATGTCAGTCTTACCCTCCCAGACTAACCACTATGAAGCCGCAGGACTGACCATGACTCACTCCCTGGACTGCAGAAGGAACGACTCACTGACCAGAGCAGACACTTCACCGCGACCAGTCCTCTTGGCTGATATTGGAGGCTGTCCTTGACTTACTGTGCCAGGGTACCTAAATGAAGGGTGTTTCAATGAACATCAGTGAGGACTACTCTCCTAAGACTTTGAGACATGGCTGTTTACTCGCAGCACATACAGTGTTTGCTTTGTAAGCCAACGGCAGACAGTGCAAGTGGGAGATTAACATGGCGCACTGCTGTACAGTAAGATGCCCAGTCCTTTACTGAGCACTGCTGAGTAGCAACGCAAAGATGCTTGATTGCATGACTGCACTAATATATACAGCAAAGCATGATGCAAGCAAGCAGATAGTGAACAAATGCTAAGACAGCAATCAAGCGGCCCCGAGATGCAGCCTGGTTAAATCCGTGAGCTGTTTACTGTCTGTAAAGTGTCCCTGCTGCAGGCTTTCAATGTAGTAGCTGAAGTGCCCTGCACTCTGCTTCCAGAATGCCTTGCCAGTGTATCACAAGATGCCATGATGATCATGGAGAGATGCAGATGCTGGATTCCAATATCCATCAACATAATGTGCATGCAGCTAGTGACCGTGCATCATGCTCTGAAATGCTGCTTAGTCATACACAACATGATGGTTGTTCAGAGCAAATGCTGAGCTGAACCCACCAGGTACCCTCTCTGGTTTCAATATCAAGTTTTCTAGCTTGTTTAGCGGGTTTGGGAAGATGGAAAACTGAATATTAATGATATGAGTTAGGTCATCAACAAGGTGTTTAACAACTAATAACGCCCCTCATGGTTAGAAAATTGGTTAGCAGACATGAAACAAAGACTAGGAATAAATGGGTCTTTTTCTGAATGGCGGGCAGGGACTAGTGGGGTACCGCAGGGATTGGTATTAGGACCCCAGCTACTCTCAATATATGTTAATGATTTAGATGAGAGAATTAAATGTAATATCTCAAAATTTGCAGATGAATCAAAACTGGGTGGAAGAGTGAGCTGTGAGGAGGACACAGAGATGTTACAGTGTGATTTGGACAGCATGGGAGTGAGCGGGCGAATGCATGGCAGATGCAGTTTAATGAGGATAAATGTGCTGTAATCCACTTTGATCATAAAAATAGAAAGGTAGATTAGTATTTGAATGGCTATAAACTGAGAGAGGGAATACTCAACAAGCCCAAGGTGTCCTCGTGTATCAGTTACTGAAAGTAAGTGCACAGGAACAGCAGGCAGCAAAGAAAGGAAACTGTATGTTGGCCTTTATAACAAGAGGATTTGAGGACAGGAACAAGGGTATCTCATTGCAATTATACGGGACACTGGTGAGGCCACACCTGAAATATTGCATGCAGTGGTGGTCTCTTTATCTGAGGAAGGATGTTCTTGCTATGGAGAGAGTGCAGCAAAGGATTACCAAATTGATGCCTGGGATGACAGGATAGACATTTGAGGACAGATTGAGTTGGTTAGGATTGTATCTACTGGAGTTCAGAAGAATGACGGATATCTCATAGAAATCTATAAAATTCTAACAGGACTAGACAGGTTAGATGCAGGGAGAATGTTCCCAATGGTGGAGGAGTTTAGGAGTCATAGTTTAAGGATAAGGGGTAAACCTTTTAAGACTGAGACAAAGAGAAATTTCTTCATCCAGGGAGTGGTGACCCTGTAGAATTCACCTAGAGGTGGTAGAGGCCAAAACATTACGTGTTTTCAAGAAGAAGCTATGATCGTAATGAATGGTTTGAGGGGTCAAATGACCTATTCCTGCTCCTATCTTCTAAGTTTCAATATTTAATTGGCAACTTGTCACAGCTTGCTGAGAAATTCCCTACAGCTTGCAAAGAGCATAAAAGATGGCGCAAGTTGCTGCCAATCTCACTAGACTTCTTGTCTGATTCTTCCATATATCCTGTAATAGTCCATGTTGCTCAGATCCCTAGAAGATTGCCACCCATTAGCACCATACCACACAAAAGGAAAGGGTCCTAGACAGGTATCTCCAATTTGGCTATAACCTTCTAAGCACTATAAACCTACTGCAGCCACCTCACAGGCTACCAACTTCACAGATCCCAGGATTTGGACATCTCTCCTTTAATGGAAAAAAACCTCAGGATGTCAATGACTTAGGACACCCAACATAAAGAATGAACTGAAATCACATCCTATTGATGGGGCTCCATAATCAGCTGAAGACGGGATAAAAGGAATGTCAGGGAAAACAGCCAATCCAAACAATCAGGCGGCCAGTTTCTCTGTTGCGTTGTCAAGACAGGTGTAAATTTTGCACAGCAATGCCACGCAATTCAAGCTGTAGTATTTTCTGACCTGGAAATATTATATCTAGACTTTGCCACTGCTGAACAGATTTGGCATTAGCTATTATTTATATGGAACTTATCATTTAAATTGCATTAGTATAATCTTTATAATCATGGTATCTTACCTTTAATAACTGATTATGCACAAATTTTAGTCTCTCTTTAGTGGGCAAGAGAAGGGTACATCTTTTAAACAGCAAACCTGAGTGGGAGAAAACAAAAATTACTATAGTGATGGTAGTTGTGTGCACAACATGATCGTGTCCATGATTTGAAAATGCACAACAATAATTCCAATCCATTTTTAGTCTTTTATGACTTAGATGATCTCAGTTGAAGAAGCTATTGAATGCTACAGTTGGCAGCAACTCCGTCATTAAATTGGGGAAATTAGGAATGTCGCCAGTAAATGGAAGAATTATTGGGGGGCAGCAGCATGTGGGGGAGAGCACGTGTATAAATGCAGGAATTGAGAATTTGCATCAGTACAGTTGGTTCTGCTATAAATGTGTGTTCTGGAACGCGAATTGGTCATAACGTGACTGACAAATAGGGGAATGCTATTTCTAAAACGCGAACTTGTGTTGGTTTTAATGCAATTTGAACAATGAAGAGGATGTTGAATAGCTGCTTCAGTCCCACTGTGAAGACCTCTCTACTGCTGATCTACAACAACTTGTCGCTGAGGGGGAAGCGGAAGCTGGAGACGAATAAGTAGTAGTCCAGGATGCAGCACCACGAGAACTTTCCACTTCTGTTTTGTCATCTATCCTGAGGGAAATTGCGAAGCAGTTGCAGCTCTTAGAGGATAACAATTACAATGCAGAATGCAACAGGGTAGCAGTTCATGGAATAAGATGATATTTGGCAGCCTCTGAACAGCTTCGACATGAAAGAAGAAAAAGGGCAAAGCAGCAAGAACTGCATGCCTTTTTTAAGCCAATCCCAAGAAACAGTCAGAAGACAATGAACCACAGACAACTACTTCTGGATTAACTATTTTTTGCCCTAAACCTGCAACCACAACTGCACCTGAAGGTGATGGTGAAGGTGATGATGATGATGATGACGACGACAATGACGACCCTCAGCCCCTGCATTAACAACAGAGCAACCTCAAAACCTCACCCCCCACTCCATCAAGTCATCTTGACATTTTTTCAAGGTAAGGTGTTAAATTTACTTTTATTTCATTATTAGATATGAATTAAACATTTATTCAAACTGTGCTATCCTATGTGTTATACTTTTGAGTGATTTGTGAGCGATTTTTTTTGATGGTCTGCCCCCAACCCCGCTTTTCCCATAGGCCCTGTTATTTCTATAGCAATTTTCTATAATGCAGTGTTGCGTAGGAACGCAACTATCGCATTATAGCGGAACCAACTGTACATGGGAAACTGATGGAGAGCTGCAATGACTTATGGAATTAAGAAGAGCACCAGATATGGAGTAGGGCCCCAGTAAATGGAAGGACTGGGGAGGATGCAGATAGGTTAAAGAAACTGAAATTGTTTTCTTTTAGAGAAATTTGAGAGATTTGGTAGAGATTTTCAAAGTCACAAGAGAGGATACAGAGAAGCTGTTGTATTTTGTGGACAGATCAAGAAGCAGATGACACCGATATAAGCTAAAAAGAACCAAGGTGACAGGAGAAAAAAACTTTTTTTTTTAATGCAGCAAGTGGTCGGGATCTAGAATGCACTGCCTGGAAGTGTGATGGAAGCATTTTAATTGCACCTTTCAAAAGGGAATTGAATAAACACAAAAAGATTAAAAACATATGCGAGTGTATGGAAAAAAGATGGTGGAGTGAGACTAACTGGAGTGCTGTTGCAGTGAGCCGTGGAAATTCAATGGGGTGAATGGGTTCTCCTCCTGTGATGTAACCATTCTATGATACCAGCAATAAACTCCTTTTTCCAGAAACAAGATGGAGGTGACCTGACAGACATCTTTAAAATAAATAGAGTTTCAGTAGACATAAAGATGGTTCCATTTGTAGGTGAGCCCAAGGGCAAAGGTCAAAAATATAAAATGGTCACTAATAAATACAGTAAGGAATTCAGGAAAAACTTCATTACTTATACTGGAGAGAATCTGAAACTCATTACCACATAATTGAGATAAACATTAGACATTTATTTAAAGCAAGCTAGCTATGTACATGAGTCAGAAATTAAAGGAGACTATGGGCGGATGTGGGTGCAACAGAGATCATGCCTGCTATTAGACAGCTGGCGAGAGATTCACTCTGTCTCCTTTGGTGTAGGTCCGCCAAACCACAAATCAATGCAAGCAGTGGAGAGGTCAGCAGCAAGCCTTTACCCAGGATCAGTACTCCAGAGATGGAGGTCCTGAACACCGAGGGCTGCTGGCCAATCAAAACCTGGCAGATATTTTATTCGGCAGTGCCACAACAGACATGATGAATGACACCCACCAAAGGCCCAAGATGGAGATGCAACCCATGCCACAGACACGTAATGGTGGAAGGGGTTTTGTGGACTTGGGGATGCAGGGTAGACAGGTTTAAGACAGGCTTGGCAACAAGGACATGAATATAGCTTTTAGTGATCCTCTATTTTCCTGATACTGGATCTCTCTTTCAGGCATTCTGTGTTTCTGGGAAACAACAGGCAGGCCTCTACAAGTTTACTTGTCATGCACACCACTGGTGACAGACCTCCCCGAATTTGGGTCTGTACCAGTACTGGAGGAATAAGATCCTTAAATGAGCATTAAATGTCCACATAAAGGGCCTCAACTGGTAGGAGGATGGGAAAGTCAACAGCCAACCTTCCAATCCCGGATTTCATTGGGGTGAATGCACAAAGGCAGTAAACTGCTATCCCACCTCCAAATACATCAGGAGTGAGGGCAAAAGATTCTGATGTTGCTGGGGTGAGACAAACTATATATTAGGAAGAAGCTTATGTGAAGCAATAACACCAACATGTGGGGCAAATGGCCATCGAATGTGCTGTAAATTCGATGCAATTCTACTAATGACTCTAAACTCCGTAGCCTGAGCTGAGCAAAGTTCAGACCAGGTCCACAGTCTTAACTGATATGTTGTGATCTTTCTGAAATTATTACTCATATAATACTTTTTCGGCTAATTACACTCAAATCCAGAGATGGGATAAAACACCAAGGATTCTGATTGAAATTGGTGTAACCCCTATCAACTGCCTGCATGCGCAAATGTTGAGAGGGTTGAAATGGGCTGAGCTCTGATGCACCCCCATCAACCAACTATCAAATAACCTGCCAATGTAAGCATCTGCAGTAATCTGTCACAAAATCACATGAATCTAAACAGAGGAAACATCTTTGCCCATTGCGTCTGCATCACAGCTAATTCCAAACTGGAGCTACACATTATCGTGCCATTTTGCTTCTCTTTCCTGATCCTTTTTTGCATTTTCCTTTGTCAAATGTCTCTTAAATGTTATAAGATGAATCAGCCCCTATACTCATGTGCATGAAAATAATCTTCTAACTGTTCTCTTTATGCTTCTGTACACATTAAATTTATGCTTTATATGAAGAGTGCCAATTGAACAGGAGGCAATTTGTGTCAGTAGATTAGTACCCCAGCAAATTGACCTTCAGGTGTAGAGGAATAAAAATGATTTGCAGGGTTTATGGGATGGTCTTTGGAACCATTCAGTATGCCTTACTCTGTAATAAGGTGTTACCTAAAGATCTGTAGTGTTCCATCGCAATTGATTTCTTGGAAATATCAGTAGAGTGGAATCCCTCCAATAAAAGCCGTCTGATTCCAGATGATGTGCTGATATAACCCACAACCTGAGTGCCAACTACTTTTGATGCCATGCTCAAAACACTGATGTCTGTCACTGAGAAAAAAGGGTGAGTAAAATAAGGTAGCATGTTTGATCATTGTACTATCATATGACAATATATTATTTTTACAGCATGCAAAAAGACTCTTCATTTGGTCTCCTTTGCACTGCACAAGGTGCACAGACCTACCCATATCTTGCCAAGAAGCACAACTGGGCAATTTACTTCAGGCATTCTGACAATGTGCAGTGTTAGAAGGTCTGAAAGTGCACATTTGCCACCGGATGTGACAAAACTGGGCCAGAAATACAAACAAAAATAGTAATAATGTTAGAATTCCAAACATGGCAACAATTCTTTGCACCATGTCCAAGCGGTCATTTTTCATGTCTGAACTGAGGCAGTGAGTGTGAGGAAGCTAAGTAAACAACACCAGCTGCATGACAGTAACTTCACTAAGTACAATGAATTACCAAATGTGCTACGGAGCCTAAAGACCTGAAAGATCTCAGGTCTGATTTACATAGCCTGGACGTAAATTGCCTCCACTGTACCTGGGTTAGGACAGAGTGAAAAATTTAGGTTTCCTTATCTTGGTTAATACTTAATGGACCATAACAGAACATTAGAATGTACATGGACATTGTATGAGAGCACAGCAAAGCACAGCTCTGATGTCACTGACAATCAAATAAACTGTTGACTATCACCTTCCAGGTTTGTCTGTAACACACTAGGAGGAGATACTGAAGACCTGCCTATGGAATATATTTCATCACAGTATAAGTCAACTTCTTTACAAGAGATGGAAGAAAGTTCGGATAGTTAGGAAATCTGTAAAAGGAGCATGGGTGGGTCGGGGTTGGGGATTAGGGGTGGTGGATCCAATGATTTTCTTAAAAGCATATATTGTCATAATTGTACCTGAAAGATAACACAACACCTTGTGAAAGATTTCAACCGGTATTATCTGGAAGTAGCCACAGTTATACTGTAGGTGAAAGCTTTCCAGTCTGTCACCATTCTTCTTGGATTGCAAATGTCTGCAACTTCTTCTGTATTTCTGGTTTGGAATCAAGGTGAAAGCATTTATTCCCAAAGGCACCTCATCTCCCTCCATGGCTTTCATCTGTTATTTGAAAAGGAAACATAAAAGTTGTGTTACAAGCCAAGCAAATTCAGTTTCCAACCATTTTTTGTTTCTTTTCCTCGCATCCTAAGCTTTCTCCCCATTTCTCCTGAAGATGGCAACTCAGATGGAGTATAATTACCAGTGGTCCTGTCGTTCTCCACCAAGTAGTCATTCATCATAGACATAGCTTCAAAAGGATATTTTTACAGAAAATTTACAATACAAAGTTTAGCAGGCATAATATCTAAACTATTTCTGGAAAATAATATGTCTGAAATCTTTTCAGATTCCTTGAAGACCATAATATGGGCATACTTATGCTAAGGATTTCTATTTCACTACTATATCAGAAGTACAACTAATTTGAGCAGAGGGACTCTAGAATAGTTGGTTTCTAACTGGGATCTGTGAACACCTGGGGGTCCGCAGACATTCCAGGGAATCCATGTGATAATAGAGCAGCAGCCAGAGGTTGGCATGATGCCAGATGGGAAGTGGAGGTAGAGTACAGCCACCACATGTGCACTGCAGACTGGACTGACTATCATCAGAGAAGGGAGCAAGTATGGAGTAAGATGGCATGAAGATCACCATTTCAACTTGCAGTTATTGAGGTTGGCGATGGCTACTAGGTGAATTCGGCCTTGTTCAAAAGCAGATGTTAAGTACCAAATAATGTACGATATGAAACAGACACACTCATCCCACCATTATCTGTGAGTAAATACCTGTTCTCTTAAAAAAGCATTATTAAAACATAGCAGCACTTTAGTGTATTGTCTAAAAATTTGGAGGGGTAGGGCTGTCTGGGATTGCTTATCCATTTGAAAGGGGATTCTACATGAGTCATGGCTTTAAATCAGAAATAGCCAAGTACATTAATATTTCTCCATACCTCCAATTTCAATACTAGAGTAGAGCAGTCTGCTTATTTGAAGATTTCATAATACACAATCATAGAACGGTTACCATAGAATCCCTACAGTGTGGAAACTGGCCATTCGGCCCAACAAGTCCACACCACTCCTCTGAAGAGCATCCTAAACAGACCCATTCCCCCAATTTCCCATGTCAAACCCACCTGACCTAAACGTCCCTGGGCACTATGGGCAATTTAGCATGGCCAATCCACCTAGCCTGCACAACTTTGGACTGTGGGAGGAAACCGGAGCACCCGGAGGAAACCCACGCAGACACAGGGAGAATGTGCAAACTCTACACAGACAGTTGCCCGAGGCTGGAATCGAACCCAGGTCCCTGGCGCTGTGAGGCAGCAGTGCTAACCACTGAGCCACCATGCCGTCCACTTCATGCTATTTACAGTTGTACCCTTAATTTAAACTATCTCTCCTCATTCATCCTACTAAAATGTAAATCTTCACTTTTTGGCATTAAATTTTATCTATTTCATGTCTGTGTCCTCTTCACCAGCCTGTCTATGTTGTCTTGAAGTCAGTCACTATTCTCCTCAAAGCTCATAACATTTCCAAGACTGGTGGTCATCTACAAATTTCAAAATTATGGCCTTTACTTTCATATCTAAGTCATGATTAAAGTTCAAGGAAAGCAGTGGTCATAGTAATGAGCCTTGGGGAACACAGTGGCTAAGAATTCTGACCATAATGATAACGCTTTTGAACATTTACCTCAGATATTCTTTTTACGCTCAGTATCAATGACCACCCCTATCTGCAAGCTCTCATCCCCTTTGAAATGTAGCAAATCTCTGCATGGACAATAGCTATACTGCGGTGAATCCAGAAGTCAAAAACAAATAGTTGTCACCATATTCAGAGAACATGTGATTTCCCTTACGTCCAAGAACACCAGAATAAATAAGACCAGATAATAGCACTAACAATGACTTCAATGTTAAGAAACCTGAGTAATAAGAACAAATCTTAAACAGATTTACTATGTAGGCAGAGCTGAATTATTTCTGCACAAAATATAGAAATAACAATTAATTCTGAACACTATAACTTAATGTAAAACTGGACCTGAAGTAGGGTTCCTGGCCATAACCTTACTTGGGTTTGCTGCTAACCTTCCCTGGAGCCACTTGGCCTATATACTTCTGGTGACTTCATAAGGACTGTTCTTATACTCCTAAGGTAACCCCTCAAAATCCTTTCAGCTTTGTATGGAACAAAGAAAATTAAAAACGTATCTCTCAAACTCAAATAAGGCTGTAAAACGTGCACTTCACACAAAACATGTTTGTATGCTTTTGAATTGAATTGAATGCTTTTGCCTTTCTTCCTCAAAATATATTGACTGTTTTCAAACATAGTGAATGAATTAAAATCTCCAAAAGTAAAATAATATTAGCCATGTACATTTGCATATGAGACATCCCTTAAATATGTAAACAGACACTTCACCATATTTATCAGCCAGATTTGGTTATTTATAATATCAAACCTGGCTTCGCACCACACATAGCATATTTAAAAAGGAAGCAGTTAAGCTAATTCACCTGAAACAAAAATGAAAGTTAGTTCATTTTTGACATTATAACATTAATTATTTCTGTCACTTCAGTGAGTGGGGTGCCAACAGATGTCTCTATGCTACTTAGGTAGCTGTTTGATCGGTGAAGCCTGAAGATAAGAATATAAATAACAGTAGCACTGAGGCCTTACGTGCCTGTACTGCCTTTCAGTACAATCAATTTGTGGTTTTAATTCAACTTTTTTCTGCTCCCCATAACCCTTCACTCCAAGAGACCAAAGATCCATCTTTTCTGAATCTTAAATATATTCAATGATAAAATATTCACAACACTCTGGGGTAGAGACTTTCAAAAATAAACCACAATCATTTGAATAACAAAATTTCTCTTATCTCAGTCCTAAATGATTGATCCTTATCCGAGACTGCACTCTCACATTCTAGACTTCCCAGCCAGAGGAAGCCTTAAAGGGCAGGATCTGCCCACTCCCTGACCAACATGAGCATTGGTGAGAAAGTTGGAAAAATCATGTGAAATCGGTAGAGAGGATAGTTTCCTAACATTGAGAGTAAAGGGACCCTTTTCCAACCAAGCATTGAATGGAGAGAAGCTCGTGAGTGGCAAGAGACCCGTTAGCATGCATTAACATCTCATTATATCATCTTGCCTCACTGATTTGCAGTTTCCCATTCTTCCACCCATTGGATGGAAATTAAGTGCCAACAGTTTCCAACATGAAAGATAGAGCAGTAACATGTCAATTCCATCTTTCCACTTGATCCTCCAAATCTCCCTCACTCACCAACGTCTCAGGGCACACTCCATGCATTGCAACCACACACAACATGCATCCAGCAGGATCTCCATGCCCCCACCAGCAAAGCAGGGTCCCATTACCCAACTTAGTTGACAGCCAATTTCAGTTAAGATTCAGCCTTCAATGTCTACATTAGCAAGCCCCTCAGAATTAATTAAATCATCTCATTCTGCTAAAATCCAGAGAATAAGAACCTATTAATCACTGAGAAGAAATAGTAATGCAACACATACACACAGAGATTAAAGATAATAGTTGAGTCCAAACTGATAAAAATAAAAAAATTACGGATTAGTCTCTAAATTGTCCATAAGAGCAGATTCAAAGATATTGTGGCTGTCACCAGCAGCATTTACGTTGGCAGTTTACTCTGAGGTTTTTGGTTTTGAAGGTTGATTAAAATTCCTTTGTCCTAATTCATTTTGAACTGGCGGGAGCACTGAGTGAAACACAGTATTTCTCTATCTTTTACTTGCAGTGCAGAAGTGTTTAAATGGCGGTTTTCAAAGCTGTGGCCCTCACAGTACTCTAGTCCACACACTTGGACATCAAGCTAGTAACACACACGGATTAGTGTTCTGGTCAGTTTTTAACCCCTTTTTTGTATATCCCTGAGGGAAAAACAGAAGAAGGTGGCTTTCTGCTGACAGGAAAGATAGTCAGTCGTCCTGTTACCGCTTCTTGTCAGGTCTTTGCCCCTGCTTGAAGTTTCCCTTACATCTTATACCTGCAACATTCCCTTGGCTTCACAGAAGACTTTGCCAGACAGTCCCAGAAATTATATCCGCAGTTTTCCTTTACTTACAGCAGTCCTTTCTAAAAAAAAGGGACATTTTGGAATAAAAGTTAAAAAAAACTAGAATAATCCAGGCTTCTGAACAATTGTTGTAATACATCTTATTATTACCTAATTTTGCCTGATTTATATACAGTTTGCTCCAGGCAGTGGAGAGAAACTAGACGTCGACAATTTCCAATAAGTCTGAATGGGTACCTAGCAGCTGCAACTCATCGGTGTCTTCTCTGGATATCTACCTTGGCTAGTATTCTCCAACATCTCAGGGCACACTCCATGGGCAGCAACTGGCTGCATCCTCTATCTACGGAGGCTGGCACTGGGCCAGCATCAGCCTCACCACATCATCATGGCACATCTCTGACTCACTTATAACATAGTTTACCACTTCAAAAATGCACTTTGGAGCTCACCAGCACCTTTTCATTGTAATGCTACTGCCAGGGGACTTTGCACACAGGGACACACAACCATCTTGTGTTTCAGAACAGGATTCTAGTCTGGGCTTTTGGCTTGCTTTCTCAGTGCTCACTCACTTTGTACCTACATGACTGCTCACAGCATCTCTGCCTTCCTTTCTTGTGCACTTGTGCCTCATTCAGAAATTAAAGTCTCACAACACTTCTGTCTTTCCTTTTAGTGCAGACACAAAGCCAGGCAACTTGTCACATTTGCCAGTAAAACAGCAGAAGATCCACAGTTACTCAGCTTCAATGAAATGCCCTCCCGCTGAGAAAGAGGCAGTAGCGCAGCTGAATAATGTCCTGGAACAGCATGACTAAGTCATGGAGTACACTACAGCATTCTAAGTGTAGAAGGCTATCCTCTGTTGAGTGGCAAGGGTCTAAACATCATGACATGAGGCCCAGCGAATATGCAATGCAGTACTTTATTCTACTGCAGCCAACAAGATCCCGAAGATGTCTGCTCAACATGAGGGTTCCATGCTTGTCCATGTCTGGGGGGTTGTTGCATTACAACACTGACGAGACACCGCTTAATCCTTGCATGCTTTGCTCTGGACAACTGGAGGACGCAACAAAGGTATGTGATGAATGGGGAAGAGCCACAGCTTTGTACTGAGTAGGAAAATGAGATGTTCATCAGGAGGAATTGCATCTTCACTACCCTACGCTGCAACATCGTTAGTCGCAGTAGCCTAGGCAGAACTTATTTAGCACCGTTTTCAACGGAATTGTGTAAAGTGAAGTCATTATTTACTAACTGTACATGGATTGATGCTAAAGAGGTCAGCATCTCCTATTTATTCTCAAACCCATTTTACAGTTTGTTCTATTTTTGGTTTCCCTGTTATAGAATCATACAGCATGGAAACAGACCCTATGGTCCAACCAGTCCACGCTGAACATAATCCCAGCTAAACTAGTCCTACCTGTCTGCCCCTAGCCCATCTCTCTCCAAACCTTTCCTTTTCATGTACTTATTTAAGTGTCTTTTAAACACCGTAACTGTGCCCACATCTACCACTTCCTCAGGAAGTTCATTCCACGTGCAAACTACCATCTGTGTAAAAAATTTGCCCCTCATGTCTTTTTTTAAATCTCTCTCCTCTCACCTTAAAAATCTGCCCCCTTGTCTTGAAATCCCCCAACCTGGGGAAAAGACACCTACTATTAATCCTATCTGTATCCCACATGATTTTTATAAACCTCTATAAGGTAACCTCTCAACCTCCTATACTCAGTGAAAAAAGTCCCAATCCAACAGCCTTTCATGAAAACTCAAACCTTCCATACCCAGCAACATCTCTTCTGAACCCTCTCCAGCTTAATAATGTCCTTTCTATAACTGGTGACCAGAACTGGACAGGTACTCCAGAAGAGGCCTCACCAATGTACTTTAAAACCTCAACATGACTTCCCAACTCATATACTCAAAGGTCTGAGTAACGAAGGCAAGCGCGCCAAATGCCCTTTTAACCACCCTGTCTATATGTGACGCAAATTTCAAAGAATTATGTATCTGAACCCCTAGATCTCTCTGGAAAACAACACGAACCCAGGCCCTACTTTCAATTGTATAAGTCCTGCCCTTGTTTTTTTTTTACCAAAATGTAATACTTCACATTTATCCAAATTAAACTCCATCTGCTACTCCTCATCCACTGACCCAAATTCATCAAGATCTCTTTGTAATCTTACATAACTTTCTTCACTGTCCACTGCACCACCAATTTTTGGTTCTATCCGCAAACTTACTAACCATGCCTTATATATTCTCATCTAAATCATTTATATAAATGACAAACAAAAGTTCCCTTTGGAGCACCACTGGTAACAGGCCTCCAATCCAAAAAGCAACCTTCCACCACCACTCTTTGTCTCCTGTTGTTAAGGCAATTTGGTTTCCAATTAGTAGTTCACCCTGAGTCCCATGTGATCTAACTTTACTAATTAGTCTACCAGGCGGAACTTTGTCAAAGGCTTTACTAAAGTCCAAGTAAACAACATCGACTGCTCTGGTCTTCAACATCAATGCCACTTTGCCACACTAGCTCCATGTCCCTTAACATCCAGAAACCTATCAATTTCTGCCATGAGAATGCTAAAGGTTGGAGTTTCTACAGTTCTCTAGTATAGAAATTTTCAAATATTCATTACTCCCTAAGTTAAGAAATTCCTCCTCATCTCAGCCATAAATGGCCTACCTGTTACCCTGAGATTATGTCCTCGGTTCTAGATTCACCTGTCAAGGCAATATCGTACGTCATACAACCTGGAAGAATTCTGTAAGTTTCACTGATAACACCTCTTGTTCTTCAAAACTTTACGAAATACAGACCCAGGACATTTTTTTACATGACCCATATCAATTCAGTTTGCACAGAGAAATTACTTACTTTCTTCTCCCTTTGCCTACACAGTTTTCCTAAATATAACAATTTAAATTAGACTATCTGGTTGTGCTTTGCTGTTCTATTTCTGAATACCGTCGATGTTCTTTGTGCTAATCATTAATTGAAAGGAACAATAAACAAAAAAAACTGACAATCAAACCCTTCTCTGCAACAGGTTCACATCAGTATTATCAAGAGTATAGAGGCTTATGATCACCTACCTTGTCAACTACAGCCTGTGTCCAGCTTAGCGAGATCAAAAGGCAGAGGCAGGAACGAAGGAAAAATTAGACACTAGGAGATGTAAACAAAAAAGCTAATATTTCTATTAGTTAAACTATCCATGGATAATTAATGACTATTGGTAATGCATATAAAGATGCTGACAGGCTTGGAAGAAACTTTAGAAACATCATTTCAAAACATTGCAACACGTATTACAGGAAACTATTTACAAACTATTTCCGTAATATTTATACCTGCAATTTTAATGTTATATATTAACACAAATCCACAGTCAAAAATATGACAAGGTTAAATAAGACATGTACAGAAAGGCAAAACAGTTAACATTGCTACAATTTGCATTTATATAACTTCTTTAATACAATAAACCATCCAAAAGTAATTCACATGGTCATTATATAAATTTGATTCTGGGTCTCATAACAGACACAACAGAGCAAGAGCAAAATGTTGCTGATGCTGATAATCCAAAATAAAAACCAAAAATGCTTAAAATACTAAGCAACTGAGGCAGTATACCTAGTGAGGGAAAAACACTACAGTTGATTGAATTTTCAGCCGAACTGTAAAAAATTAAGGATGCAAATCAAAGGCAGGGAAAGTGGGAAGGGGGTGAAAGAACAATGTGGCCTCAGCCTCTTGCATTGTTCCAATGAATTTTGAGGATCAACACACCATCCTCCAATTAGACGGTTTACAGCCTTCTCGATTTAACAAATCTTGGATGAACTGAAGTTTATCGATGGTGCAATTTGGCCAGATCACTGCAACCTAAAGACACATATCTAGTGCCTAGTAAGTATTTAGGTACGTTTATAAGATTGCAATGAGGATTTTATGCAAAATATAACCATGATATTCAAAAACCAGTATTTTGCCTTAACTGAATTTACTTTAGATTGCAAATTTTAACAGGCCATGACTGATCCAATGCAAATATTTAAATATTTTCAGTTCTTTGCAACGCAAGTTCTGACTGAAATAATTCATAATATTTGGATTTTTAACCCAATGTGAACATATCTTTAAAAATGTCTTTTATTTTTTACAATCATTTCTTGTTTTCATTATTGTTTTATTCCTCACCTCTGTTAAGTGATGTCTCCCAAGCTGAATAGGCTCGTTTCTTTCTGTTTATTTTATTTTTTGGAGAGAGAGTTTCTTTATAGTAAATATTGTGATTAAAATTACGACAGTTGGAAAACAAGAGAGAATGAGCAAAGGAGGACAGGTTCGGGGTTTCCAGCTTCTCCGCCTCGCGCTTTCGGACAACACCCAGCCCACCGCCTTCCCGCCCAAACGCGGCCGACCAATCAGCGCGGGATCTCGTGCCAGAACCCGCCCTCACGGCAAAGTGATTGGGCGCTCTCCGCGGGCCAATGGGGAAGGAGGTACCACTTTCTCTCATTCTCATTCGCTGTTCGGACGTTAATCAGACCTGAGCCCAACAGTGATTGGGTCGTTCAACTGTCGATCATCAGTCAAAGCGGGAGGGGCGAAGCGCTCTGCGCTGTCCCTGTTTTTTTTCTCTCTGGCCCGCCCAGGCACTGTGTGTCTCCGTCAAAATGTTGTAGAACAGAGAACTGCTGTGGTAGTGTCCCTGACTCTGAACCAGTGGGGCTGGTGTTCAAGTCTCATCTGGTCGAGGGTAGTAGAATAACATTTCACAACAGGCAGATTAGGGAAATATATAAAACAAAGAGCTGCGGGTGCTCAAACAAAAGCAGAAAGTTGGCGGATCTGGCAGTATTTGTGGACAGAGGGGAAAAAGAATTAACCTTTTTGAGTCCAGTGACCCTTCTTCTGAATTGAAACAAAATGAAGCAACAACCATGATTTTCCCTTTATGTGTTTAAAGACCAGAAAAACAGATGATGTAAAGAGAGACGCAAATTGCTGGAGAAACTCTGAAGAAGAGTGAAAAACAACTGGTCACGGAGCCTGAAACGTTAACTCTGCTTTCTCAACAATGCTGCAAGATATGCTGAGTTTCTGCAGAAATTTCTGTTTTTGTTTTCAGGTTCCCAGCATACACAGTTCTTTGTTTTAGTTTTCTGAAGAAGGGTCACTGGACTGGAAAAGTTAATTCTATTTCTCTCCCCACAGATGCTGCTGAGTTTCTCCAGCACTTTATGCTTCTGTCTCCTTTATATCATCTGCTTTTCGCGTCTTTAATCGTGTAAAAGTGTTACATTGTTTTGTCATAACAAGATGTAGAGCTGGATGAACCCAGCAGGCCAAGCAGCATCAGAGGAGCGGAAAAGCTGACGTTTCGGGCCTAGGCCCTTCTTCAGAAAATGTTTTGTCTTTTGTTGTTATTTTATTTCAACTCTGAAGAAGGGTCACTGATCTCAAAACGTTTCTCTCTCCACAGATGCTGCCAGACCGGATGAGTTCCTCCAGCAATTTCTATTTTTGTTTTGCTTCAGATTTCCAGCATCCGCAGTTCTTTGGGCAACGGCTGTTGCTGAGTGCGGGGGAAACGGTTCAAATAGCAAAACAACAAATCCTGCTCTCTCTGCAACATCTGCGTTCAGATCTTTAATTATAAAACGGTAATAGTTTTTTATTTGTTTTGTTTTATAAAAGGGCAATGTTTGTTGATGGATTTTTGAGCGGTCATGGGGAATGATCCAATTTGAAATGTAAAACTATAAGATCCAAGTTCTCTGTTCCATTTGCTTTTGCATTCTTAATCAGAAAAAGGGCAATGGTTAATGCTTTCCTTTGGTGTAGTCTTATTTTGTTTTATTTCAATTCCGAAGATGGATCACTGGATTCAAAATGTTAACTCTGTTTTCTCTCTCCGCAGATGCTGTCAGACCTGCTGAGTTTCTCCATTTGATAGATAGTAGGAACGGCAGATGCTGGAGAATCTGAGATAACAAGATGTAGAGCTGGAGAAGAAGGGTCTAGGCCCGAAACGTCAGCCTTCCGGCTCCTATGATGCTGCTTGGCCTGCTGGGTTCATCCAGCTCTACACCTTGTTATCTCTGAGTTTCTCTTTGTTTTGTTTCAGATTCGAGCACCCGCAGCTCTTTATCCCGTTTTATAAAAGGGTAATGTTTACTGGAACAAAAAACAAAGTTGCTAGAAAAGCTCAGCAGGTCTGGCAGCATCTGTGAAGGAAAAATCAGAGTTAACGTTTCAGGTCCGGTGACCCTTCCTCAGAACCCACCGGATCCGTTAACTCTGTTTTTTCCTTCATAGATGCTGAGCTTTTCCAGCAACTTAGTTTTTGTTCCTGATTTACAGCATCCGCTGTTGTTTCGGTTTTTATTTGGTAATTTTTACTGATAAGTCTGGGATGATGGGCCAAAGTGAAAAGCAAAACTACAAGTCCCAGGAGGCAGCGCGGTCTTTGGTGCATGCGCCGTTGCTCCGCATGTCAACGTGGCGGTTCCCAACCAGTCAGAAACCCCACTCTGGATCCCACCAGTCACAGGGCCGGTAACAGATCCGGCAGGGCAGCGTGCGGAATGAAAGCTGAGTGGTGATTGCAGGATGTTTGCCTCGTCTGGAGTGGCTACAATATAACGCTTGCCCACAGATAATTCCAGCATTTTATCAGACTCATTGATAAATGGTGAGAATATAATTTTTCTATTGATGAAACAATGATAGATTTTTAATTTATCACAAAGTATTGCAAGTTTGAAGTTTTGTGTTTATAATGCACTTCTGTGATTTGCTACTTTTAAATTTCAATTTTTAAAGTTTCTTTCAAGTTTGCAAACGGTTTATGTTAACATTTTCCCTTATTTATTCTTTTGCCTCATTTCCCTCACGTATTTGCTGCTGCTGCTTATCTAAAATTTAGGCACTTTGCGAACAGATGTTAGTTCTTATTCCTTTTTTTAACTAAATCTTTTAAGGTTTAGAAGGCTTCCATATCAGGAGGTGCTTTTTGTTAAATGTAAGTTTGTTTTGAGCGGGGAGGGGAGGAATTGTTTTGAAGTCTGTCGAAGGGTTTGTGTCAGTTGAGGTCGATTTGCCTTTTTTAAATATGTATTTTATGAAAAAAGGGATAGCTCTGCTAAACATTTTCAGGACTAATATTAAAGATGTTGCGTATTTCAAGTTTTGTTTTCAAGAAAGTTCCTGAAGCTTTTAGAAATTCGTACTGCATTGCTGATTCTGTCTTGATAAACTCATTTAAAAAAAAAACAAAACGCTGGAGAATCTCAGCAGATCTGACACATCTTTGGAAGAGGGCAGAGTTAACGATTCGACTCGGATATGACTGCAGAATACTCAAACTGGTTTTTGAATGTTATGTGCATTCTCATTTCCATTTAAATTAACCATAATTTCCATTAGTTTGTTGCGAGAGCTCGATTTAATTTGAAAAGCTTTCCAGCTCAGATTTTAAGCTAATGTGAGTTTTTTTTAGAAAATATATTTCTCAAGTTTTGTAAGAGGCAGAAGTACTGAATGTTCCTACACTTTTTTTAAGCTGAACATAAAGTATCCCTGGAAATAATGTACAGATAAAATAAATATGAAAATTTCATTTTATTATGTCAAACGTTTATCTATATCTTGGCTCTTATCAATATTTCATAAGTTCCACTCTTGACAATGATGATGTGTCTTTTAATCTGTTGACTAGGGGCACAAGTTGATGTTAGCTTTGCTTTCAGCCCAGGTATTGGGGTCTGTTCTGTGCAGTATAAAATGTACAGTTTGCTGATTTCCTTGATTACTTGGCACGTGTATGATCGTCCTTGAACTAAATAGAATTTCAATTCTTTCTAACTCCTGCTCTGGCCACTTTTTTGAAGAAGCTGTTGACAGCAGCATGAAAATTGGTAACTTGCAGGCAGGGAGCCACAAAAGAGCAGAGGATGACTTGAGTTTTTTTTAACAAAAGTTCATGCTACCTATTTTAAGATCTGGGATGCATTGCCTGAAGGGCAAGGTGAAACCAGTTCAATGCTAGCAAAAATTGGACTTGTACAATTTGCATTTGTATAGTGCCTTTTTTTTCCAAACAGTAAATCCATTTAAGATTGACTCTGACTCTGACTCTGAGAATTTCTTTTCCTTCACAGTGGTCAAGAGTTTTTCAAATTCTCTTCCTCAAGGTTTGGAAAGCAGAGCGTTTGGACTTTTCTAAAGGTAGGGGTAGCTAGATTTTTTGAGCAAAGGGCTGAAAGGTTATTGGGGATAGTTGGGAATGTGGTGTAATTAGATCAGTCACGGTCTTATTAAAATGCAGAGCAGGTTTGAGGAGCTTACTCATGTTCTTAATTCTTGTGTACATCCCAAAGTTCTTTATACAGAAGTATCATCAGACAACATTTGAACACTTGAACAAAAATGTTTGTGGGAAAAGAACAGAGCCGTAGATCTAATTGGATAACTTGTACGATGGAACCGCACAGGCGGAATGGGCTGAATGGCCTCTTGCTGCACTGTGTTATGCTATGATCTTTCTTAACATTGTGCCTTGCCCTTCAAGTGCTTATAGTTCAGCCATTTATTGGCCACGCTTTAGCTTGCTGTGTTTTTTCTCATTCCTTGTACACATTCTCTTCATCTTTGCAGTGGCGATGAAGTCCCTGATTTTCCTCTGCATGCTAGCTGTCTGTGGCTCTCTGGCCTCTTGCAAACCTACTTCTGAGAAGAAGGACAGGGTGCATCACTCGGTTGACCTGGGTGAACGGGACCACGAGGATCAGAAAGGCTACCAGTTTGATCATGAGGCCTTCCTGGGGAAGGAAACAGCCAAGACCTTCGACCAGCTCACGCCAGAGGAGAGCAAAGAGAGGCTGGGGTAATTGGAATCTATGCTTCTTATGGCATCTGATTTATTCCTGTCTAGCATTTTCTTTCATTTCAAAAATATAGTTTATTCATAAAAATATCTTAGTCCCTAAAGCAGTTCTGTTCTGTACAGTAGCATGTGAAGAAACAAGTATTGGAATTTGGTGTTTGTTGGATAGAGTCAAAGGCATTTCCTTTTGTATAAGACTTTATTTACATATAACCGAATGGACCCCCATTTAACTTCGACTGGAAGATCTTAGACAGTGTCTTTCTCCACTGCACCATGGTGGCAGCTGCCCCAAGCTTTAGTGCATCCTTCAGCACATAGTCCTGGATCTTGCAATGTGCCAGTTTGCAACACCCAGTTGCTGTCAATTCCTTTCTCTGGAAGACCATCTTGTTTCAGGCACACCAAAGAGTTGATGGTTCTCCTGTGTCACGGAGCTGTTCGGGACAAACCTCAACAAAAACCCCCATCTTTGTCCAGACTTCCTTTGCAAAGGCAGATTGCAGCAGGAAATACTTCGAGGAGGTAGCAGAAACATTCACTCCTTGTGCAACTTCTTCCCCGATCCTATGTGTTCAGTCAACTGTTCCACATGCATCACCTACTTCAATAACGTTTCAGTTCAGTTGGCTACAAATTGGCAAGTTAATCTTTATGTAGTGATTTGACTGACTGCGGTTGATAACATCTATTTGTTTTGTAGTAAATTTATTACAGTTAAAAGATCACACTCCTTGATAAACTGGTTCCTGCATGAATGGATAGTTCCTTCACTGCCAGCCTGTACCAAACAGATGGCTATTAGTATCTTGCAATCTCTCACTCTAAATATTCCTGTCATATGTTTGCAAAGTATGAGAGAATAGCTGGTTCTTGGTGCTGTGGAGTTTTGCACGAGTTGGTGAGGGGGTGTTGGTGGTGGTGGGGAAACTTGATGTTTTATGATTTTGGGAGGGAAGTGGTAAAAAAAAATCTACAAACGGATTACAGTGAGTATTGGGGTGGGGGTAAGTGGGGAAAAGGGAGATTATATTACAGGCTCCACTTGCGTAAAAAAGGACAGAAGGCAGTAGCAAGTGGAGCCTGTAATATAATCTCCCTTTTCTCCACTTGCCCCCACCCCAACACTCTGTAATCCGTTTGTGGATTTTTTTTTATTAATTTTTTTTAAATCTGAGTTGCTGCTTCCTAAACTACTTCCCTTCTTTGTCGCTGAGTTGGCAACAAGGGCCCACCCCTCCCCCACCCAGTCCCACTCTCATGTAAATCCAGATTTTTCTGAAGGAGAGGCAACAGACGTGGCAGAGGGCAGAGCAGCTCTGGGCTACGTGGCCCCTCTACAGGCAAGTCCAGACCAGTAGTTATTTATACAGTTTCCCTAAAGTACTGCAGCTATTGTATCCCGTCAGCACAGATGGCAGGAAACCGAAGCAAATTGACCGGGAGTTGCATTTTACTGCCGGGAGTTGACGAGAGGTTAATTGAAGAGTTTTTGGTGACCCGAGGATTCTCCTCTGTGCCTGCAGCCTATGCCTCCCTCCCCCTTCTCTATGCAGACAGTGAGCGAAACATACACGCCCTCCCCCACCCCAGGCTATGAATATTTCAGGATAACTCTGGTGTAGTTTGTGTTGGAATTTTACACTTCCCCCATCTCTGTGATGATGCTGACTTAGCCAGCAATGCCCAATTCAAGTGATTTTTTTTTTAAGTCGAACTTTGAACTGTAGCAAGGTCTGTTCTTGGCACCCAGTTGAGGTCATTAACATCTGGTGGGTGTACAGGGCACAGTTCATAGTTGTGCCAGCAGTTTCATGTCACCAAACCCGTTGGTGTCATCAAAGTACAAGTCTCACCAGGGTGTGGGAATGTTGGCCTCGCGCTGTCCTTCCCGAGTAACCATCTGTTGCCCCTGAGCCTTGACAGTGATCGTTGGTTGACATTTCGAACAGGAGGGGAAGGGAGGTGTTTGGGGAAATGCAAGTGCTGAAGTCCAGCCAATCATGCAGTGAAATTCTTTGCTTACGTTTATCTTCGCCCAGAGGCTTGTCTCCTGTACTCCTGCACACTTCAGCAGTCGAGGCTCCAACTTTGCAACATCTGTCACTGGAGCTCCAGTTTTGTTTATAGTTTTTGATGAGATGTAGGTGTCACTGACAAACTTAGCCTTTGTTCCCGCATCCTAATTGCCCTTGAACTGCCTTATTTGACTGTTTCAGAGGGTAGTGCAGAGTCAGCCACATTGTTGTGGGTCTGGAGTCACATGTAGGCCAGACCAGGTAAGGACAGCAGATAATGTTTCCTGAAGACACTTGTGAATTAGATGGGATGTTACAACAATCAACTATGATTAAGTGATCACAATTAGACTGGCTTTTAATCCCAAGTTTTTGTTGAATTCAAATTTTGCCATTTACCATGGGAAAACTCAAACTCGTCCTCGGTACACGGTGGCTCAATGGTTAGCACGGCTGCCTCGCAGCACCGGTGACCCAGGTTCGATTCCAACCTTGAGTGACTGTGTCTGTGTGAAGTCCGCTAAAGTTTCTGCCAGGTGCTCCAGTTTCCTCCCACAGTTCAAAGGCCTACAGGTTAGATGAATTAGCTATGCTAAATATGGGGTTACGGGGGTAGGGTGGGGCCCTGGGTCTGGCTGGGATGTTCTTTGGAGGGTCAATGCAGACTCGATGGGCTGACTGGCCTCTTTCTGCACTCTTGGGGATTCTGTGATTTAGAACCATAGAAAACATCCAGCTCAGAAAGAAGCCTTTCAGCCCATCATGTTTATGTCAGCTGAATAAACATACTGCACTTTCTAATCCACTTTCTAGCATCTGGTCCATAGCTTTAATGTTCCAGTGCTTCAGGAGTAGATCCAGGTTCCTTTTTTAAAAGACTTTAACCTCCACGACCAAACTGAGGAAAGAATTCCGCGCCACCACCACCTTCCAGTGAAAGATATTTTCCTCATGCGCCCCCTCTTTTACCAATGCCCTAAATCCATGCCACTAGTAATCGTCCGCTAGAGGAAGCCGATCTTACCTGTCCACTCTATCAAACCCCTCATTACTTCGTTCGCCTCAATTAAGTCTTCCCCCAAACTCCTCTGTTTGGAAGACAACCCCCCGCCTATCCAATCTTTCCTCAAAGCTGTAATTTTCAAGCCCTGGCAACATTCTGATGGATCTCCTCTGTACTTTCTCTCTAGAACAGTTAGGTCTTTCTGTAATATGGTGTACAAAGCTGTACACAAACACCAGCTGTGGCCTAACCGGTATTTTATATCGATACAGCAATAAATCCTTCCTTTTATTTTCAATACCTTGCCCAAAGAAGGAAAGCAGCCCATTGTGCTGCCTTTACCACACTATCCACCTGTCCTGCCACCTTCAATCCTATACACATGTACTCTAAGGTCTCTCACTTCCTCTACCCCTCCCAATACACTGCTGTTTATTGTATATTCCCTTCTTTTATTTCCCCTCCTGAAATGCACTTTTCCACATTGAGTTCCATTTTGCCCTCTTATTTTGTCCAACTCAACCAAGCCATTGATACCGTCCTGTAGTCAACAGCCATTTTCTTCACCATGAAACCCCAGGTCAATTTTACAAATTGTGCCTGTCACATTCAAGTCTAGACCAGTAATAAATGCCACAGATAACAAGGGACCTGACACTAAATCCTGTGGAATACCACTGCAAGCCATTTTCATTCACAAAAATACCCATTAATCATTACTCTTTGTTTCCTGTCACTCAGTCAGTTTTTCAATCCAATTCGCCATATCCTCCTATATCCTGTGGGTGGGCTCTGATTTTTTTTTTTCCCCCCCAACTGGTCTACCACATGGGACCTTGTCAAATGCCTGATTAAATACCATGCAAACAACATCCACTGCACTATCCTCAAAAATCCTCTTTGCCACTTCAAACAGTCCAGTGAAGTTCATAAGACACAACAATTCCTTCACAAAATCATGCTGCCATTAAACTGTAGCTTTCCAAGTAACAGTTGACCCTGTCTCTCAATATTGATGATATTCGTTTCCCAACAACTGAGGTCTCACTGACTGACCTAGCATTATTTGGCTGTTCCCTTGCGCCCTTTTTGAATAAAGGTACAATGTTTGCAGATTGCCAGTTCTCTGTATTGAGTGAGGATTGGAAAATGATTGTTGGAGCACCTGCTATGTTTCTCCATAGTTTCATTTAAATGCTTGAAATAAATTGATCTAGCTGATGTATCCACCTTCAAGGAGGTCTGTCTCCAGGACTTCCCTTCATGCCATGTGTTTTTCTTTTAAACAAAAGTTCCCACTCTCGTTTACTGGAATGTCAGCATCAACCCTTGCCTTTTTGAAGACAAAGTACTCATTAGAAACCTTGCCCATAACTTGCATAAGGATGCAGAAGATATCATACAACTTTGTGCCCATCTAGTTCCTTAGTCATTGTCTTAGTCTTAATGTACTGATTTAAATATCTTTGGATTTTCCTCCGTGTTATTGGTCCTTTTTTTTGTATCCACTTTGTTTTTCTCAATTTTTTTCGCTTCACCCCCATACTTTCTATTCTCCTTAAAGCTTCCTAAAGTAGTACTTTTTTTGTACTTTATTTTGCCATCTTTGTGTCTGGATGATCTGAAGACTTGGCAGTACCATTTTTTTTTGTTGCAGTGAGGAGATGTCTACACGGCCTGCAGAATTGTGCTTTTCAACCTCTCACTGATGTTCCTTCAAACAGTTGTACCCAGTCCATTTTTGCCAGGGCATCTCTCAGCTTTGTAAAGCTTGTCCCCTGCCCATGTATTACTTTTTATTCCTGTTCTTTCTTTGTCCCTTTCCACAATAATGTTAAATCTGTCTATTATGATCACTGTGTCCTAAATGATCACCTACTGGTACTTGATCTACCTGCTTTAGCTTTGTTTCCTAAGACTACATCAAGAATTATGTCCCCTCTCATTAGACTTGTTAAATTCTGGCTAAAACAACAAAGTTCTTTGAGAATGCAGTTCAAGAATTTTATGCAGTCTTTGCCTTTTTACATTGTTTTGTTTGTCTGTATGAGGCTTTTTTCAGGGTGGAGGGGCCAATTACTAGAGGACACAAGTTCAAGGTGTGGGGATGAAGTTTAAGAGATGTGCGAGGCAAGTTTTTATCTCAAAAGATGGTGAGTACCTGGAATGTGCTGCCAGAGGAGCTGGTGGAAGCAGACACAATGGCAGCATTCAAGAAGCACTGGGACGAATACATGAATAGAAAGGGAATAGAGGAATACAAATCCTGTAAGTGAAGACCGTTTTGGTATGGAAGGGCAAAATGTGTCGGTGCAGGCTTGGAGGGCCAAAGGGCCTGTTCCTGTGCTCTTTTGTGTTCTCTTTGTATCCCAGTTCATTTTTGGATAGTTATGTCTGCAGTTATTATTGGCCTAGTGATGTGACCAATTTCGCAGCTGCCTTGCCCCCATATTTTGGAGGTGCAGTTTGAATGAGTATATGGACGGTTGGTTGGATGGACAGACAGACAGATGGATGCTAAAACTGCTGACAGAAGGCAGGAGTGGTACCAACAGCTGGCATCATGTCTGTTTCTTAGTTAGGATATTCTGACCGTGTGTCTTCCCCTTCTCGCCTGTTCTTCTAGGAAAATCGTTGACCGGATTGACCAGGATAAAGATGGTCTGGTCACCGCAGAGGAGTTAATCACCTGGATCAAGCGTGCACAGAACAGGTACATCGATGAGAATGTTAATAAGAACTGGAAGGAATACGACAGTAATCGGGATGGGAAGGTGTCATGGGAGGAGTACAAGAATGCTACGTATGGATTCTACCTGGGTAAGATATCCACCAGAAAACGGCTCGCTCTAAAAACACACACATAGTAGAGACTCGTGTATGCACATGTAATGCGTTTCTGCCCTCGGTTATTTGATTGCCCCTTTACGCCAGTCACTATTTTGCCTCTTGCCAAGTCTGGTTCCCCCAGATGTGAGGAAGAATTTCTTCAGCCAGAAGTAGTTAGTCTGTGGAACTTAATGCTGCAGAGGGCTGTGGACGCCAAGTCACTGAATGTACCTAAGACAGAGACAGGTTCTTGATTAGTAAGGAGATCGAAGATTGCAGGCGAATAGGATTGAAAAATATCAGCCATGATCGAATGTTGGAGCAAACTTGATGAGCTAAATGGTTTAAGTCTACTCCCATATCTTAATGGACACATACTGTTCATTCAGAAGCTCAGTCAAGTGGCCAACCTTCTCCTGGGTGTGAATATTGACAGGGAATGTTAACTATCTATTCAGCTGTGAGCAGCATCACAGGTCAATGTTGTGTGTGGCTCTGTCTGTTCTCCCTGTCCCCAGTAAGGTTCAAACCTTCCCATTTTATTCTCCCCAATCCCACTGGATCTCCTTACCTCAGGTATTGAGGCTACTAGCAACAGAGGAAGAGTATCCAGCCCTTAACACATTTGAGGAAAGGCCACACTGGACTCGACGTTAATCCTGCTTCTCTGTCAACAGATGCTGCCCGATCCACTGAGTTTCTCCAGCACTTTGTCTGTTTATGATAGTTCAAAGTTAATTTCAACATTGAGTTTCAATAAGGTTAGTTTCTTCATGTACAGTCTCTGGCAGTCAGAGCTACACTTGCAATTACAGCTCATGTTTACAATATCCAATCCATACACCACATACAACCCAAGGTGAGGGGTCAGCTGGGGCTTTTACCCTCTTTCTCCCACAGAGCAGTGGGGACACAATACAATCAAGGCTGAGAGAGCCCCACTGTTTGATCAGGGAGGGATGGTGGTTATGGGGGTCAGAAAGTGGAGCTAAAGATTCAGGCAGATCAGCTGTGACTTATGGACTGTAGCAGGCTTGATGAGCAGAATGCTGACTCCTCCTAATTCCAGCCCTCCATGTACCATGGGACTTTGGGTGGGGGAGGGTGGATAAATATGTTTTCATCCCTGTCAGTTGTGGGAGGATTAGTGGTGGGTGGTTGAAACGTTAAAATTGAGCAGCAGTCTTCTGCTTGAAGATGCCGAGGTGCAAGTAACCATCAGTGGATTACAATTCATGTTATCTGTGATTTGACTGGATGGCTTTTCCCTGTCCCCATGTTCCAATCTTAAAACAACGATAGAGACTTAGGCACACAGACAAACACACACACCCACCCACACCCATACCATGAGGGCATTGTGTACCATGGCTGAGACTGCAGGCATGCAAAGAGGATCTGACAGGGATTGGCAGGGGTTGGGGGCTCTTCCTGATGCACGCTGAGGTATGTCTTGATGCTCGTTTGCAATTTTTTTATTATTTTTTTACTCATGTCCCAAAAGTGTTGCCAACGCTTATTACCCATCCGTACCTGCCTCTAAAGTGGTGGTGAGCTGCCATCTTGAATGGCTGCAATCCATAAGTGGTGGGTAGACGCACAATGCCCTTTAGGGAGGGCATTCCAGGATCTAGAATCTGTTACTCCTCAAGGATCTCTTCCAAAAATATGCTATCAAGTTCTCAGCCTCATTTTTCCATCACTCTTGCACTTAGTGACTTTCACTGGCTCGCAGTCTGACAATGCCTCAGCTTTAACATCCTCACCCTCTATTTCCTGCTTTTCACCTCTCTCGATCCTATACATATAGAAACCTTCAAAATATCTGCACTCGAAAAGGTGCCACCATCACAACTTTAATTCCAAGTCTCAAAAACCATACAGCAACACAGTCCAATTTTCAAAGTCTGATTGCCCTCCAGTGGACAGAACTCTGTACTGCAGCAAATCAAGACTAAATTGCAAATGCACATGGAGATAATGTTGTAGTTTCATTTCACTTTTTTTCTTTGGAAAAACGTGGGAATTTGTTCTGAATTAACATAAATTTCAGGTTTGGTGTTTGAGAAAGCATTTTTGGAGTTTGCTTTCCCAGTGTGAACCTAGGTAAAGTCTCCATTTCATTTAACTAAGGTGAATAATTTCTTGGGGTAGACTGTATTTAACAAGGAAGCATATTTAATCAGAGCATCTTCCTGAGCTGGAGAGGGAGGAAAGGTCACATTCTGTCCCTGTCACTTGTCTTTTTGTATTGTGTGTAGTCCCCAAAAATCTATTCATAACGTAGCATCCAAAATGAGCCTGGGCCTCTGGATTACTGGCCCACTGACATCACCACTTTACCATAATCCTCTAGGTACCATTCCACTTATTTTTCAGTCTCTGGGAAATAACCACATCCTTTCACCCGGCTTTGATTCTGACCTTGCATAACCTGGTTCACCCCTTGATTGAAACAAACTGTTGGAACAAACCCCACACAGTATTAATACAGCTAATCAGCTTTAAAAGACCCTCATACTGGAGCCTTGAATAAACCGTCACTTAATCATAAGGAGTCACTTGGAACAGAGCCCAAACGTCCACTCTGGGATTCTATCAGAGAAATAAATGTACCTAGTTTAAAATATGGTGCAGATTGTCACATCAAGCAGCAAAGAAAAGAGGCTATTCAGTCCATTTTGTACCTGTGTCTCTATAGCCTTTGAAGTTTGGTCATGAGTTATTGCTTTGAACTGCTACAGTCCATGTTGGGTAGACAAACCAATGAAGAGGAATTCTTGCTGATGCTTGTTAGTGTTTTAAGTTCTTTCTCCCCAGAGAGCATTGGAGATTGCGTCATCAAATGTATTCAAGGCCAAGTCAGACCGCACTTTGTTCAACATGGGAATCACTTTATGGGCAATGGCATTAGGGCTACATCATCTGTTCTTGAATGGCAGGATGGGTTGGAGAGGCCAAATGGCCTACTGTAATTCACATTGAGTTCTTAGTTTTCTGTTTGAAAGGACTGACTTATTCATTTCAATGATTCCCGTATGACCTCCTAGGGGGAGCAATAAATGCTGACTAGCTTGCACTGCTGTCATCCCACAAAAGAATTTAAACTGTCCAATGGCCTTTTTAAGTTTTCAATTTCACTTCTACCATCCCCTCAGGCAGAATGTTTCAAATCAGAACTAGCTCTACTTAAACTTTTTTTAAATTCCCCTGCCCCTTGTCACCTCTTGTCCTTCCACCAATTATTTTAAGACTGTGTCCTTTGCTCGCTGACCCTCTTCCTGATAGGAACAGATTCCCCCCCCAGTTTATCATCTAACTTTTAATCTTCACTCCAGGTGAAGAGTTCAATGATGTGGATGACAAGGAAGCCTACAAAAGGATGTATAAGAGAGATGAGCGTAGATTCAAGATGGCGGACAAAGATGGCGATCTGATTGCCACACGGGAGGAGTTTAGCGCATTCCTTCACCCTGAGGAGTTTGACTACATGAAGAGCATTGTTGTCACGGTAAGCAGGACCATGAAAGGGGAGCAAGATGTGTCAAGATCTGATCCATTTTTCAACAATGAAACAAAGCATTGCTGAACCTTATCGTTTTGCATTCATTTGGACAAACACAAGGATACAAAATTCCATATTATCACAACAATTTGTATTACATAAAGAATACACTGGTTGTTCTGGCCAAAGTATTGCCATCAGGAACTATTGGCTCCCCAAAGACTCCTGGGTAATTCAACTAAAGGCGCAAGTCTTGAGCGAATTGTTTGTTTCTGGAGAACGGGTCCTTTGTTTGTTTGTTTTTGTTTATTTTATTACCCAGGAGCCTATAGCTCCCTCAGCCTATCACTGTGCCATAAAGAGTGAAAGCCATGTTTTAATCTAGTTCTTTCAAAGAGAAGTGGATAATTATCTGAAGAGAAACTTTACAAGGCTGTGGGGAAAGAGCCGAGGAGGGGAACTAGCTGAGGTGCTGTAGCAGTGAGCGTAGATACAACAGACTAGATGGCTGCCTCCTATACTTTCGCCAAATCAATTCCCCACTCTTCTTAAAAAATAATTTTCTTTGCATTTGGGCAACACTGACAAGGTTGATACTTGTCACCCGTCTCTAATTGTCCATGAACAAGTAGTTTACTGTGCCATTTGAGTCGAACATATTGCTGCAGGCCTGGAGCCCCTAGTAGGCCAGACCTGGGAAGGCAAATTTCCTTCCCTAAAGGGCTTTCGTGAACCAAATGAGACTTTCCAAGGAATCGTGCAGTATTGAAAATGCCCATTGAGTCTATACTGCCAAATATGTACTACTATCTATACCAGTCCCCGTTTCCTGCAGTAGGCCCATAGTCTTGAATGTTATGACATTACTTCAAGTGCTTATCTATCTTTTTAAGGTTTTCTGACTCAATGACACTCCCAGGCAGTGCTTTCCAGATCCCCACCACCCTCTGGGTCAAAAAGGTTTTCCTCTCAACCCCTCTAAACTTCCTGCCTTTCGTATTAAGTGTGCTCCCTTTACCTAAGGGAAATGGCTGCTTTCTGTTCATCCTGTTCATATCCCTCATACTGTTTTATACACCTCCTATAGGTTCATCTTCAGCCTTCTCTGCTCCAAAGAATACAACTCGAGCTTATCCAGCCTCTCTTTGTAGATGAAATGCTCCTACCAGGCAACATCCTGGTGGATCTCCTCTGCACTCTCTCCAGTGCAATTACATTCTTACTCTCGTGTAGTGATCAGAACTGCACACAGTACTCCAGGTATAACCTAACCAAAGCTCTGTACAGCTCCAACATGGCCTCCCAGCTCTTATAATCTATGCCACAACTGATTAAAAGCAAGTATCCTGTAGGGTGCCTTAACCACACTGCTAACCTTCAAGGATAAATGGACATCTCAAGATCCGTCTGTTTACTGGTGTTTTGCCATTGAGTGCTCCCTTATCTTGTTCCTTCTTCCCAAATCCATCAGTTCACACTTATCAGGGTTAACTTCCATCTGCCATTGGTCTGCCCACCTGACCAATCCATTTATATCCTCCTGTAAACTTCCACCTCACTGTCAACCATCCAGCCAGTCTTTATCATCCCTCCCCACATTCTCATCTATGTCATGTATGAATATCCTTTTTGTGACTGGATAAGAATGGCATATTTCTTTTCCTGCAGGGGGTGAGCAAACCAGATGTTTTTTGGGACAATCTAATAATTTCAAATTCTGTTCATTGACTTGAACTCCACTAGCTGCTATAGTGGGATTACCAGCCCAGTGACATAACTACTGCACTACTGTCTTTCCCAAGCCTGTTTCCTAGAGAGCCTAACAGCCACATTATACCTTGAGGATTCTATCTGAATGCCTACTATCCAGTGATTATGAAGATGGACTGATGATTTGCATCCCACTGTTGCTGTGCTGTATGTTGAGTGTCAGAGTAAAGGCTGCTAATGTCTTCGTTATCTTTACAGGAAACAATTGAAGATATTGACAAAGATGGTGATGGAATGGTTAATCTGGAAGAATACATCAGTAAGTTTATTATTTTTCTCTCCCACTGTAGCTTTGACTCTGGGGGAACATAATTTTGCATTACTTTTTTTTGCAAACTTTTTTTTGTGTTGGGTTGCTTTTACTTTTGTCTTTAATTGTAGCACTGACCATTGTTACAGTTGACCTTGGATGCTCCATCTGCATAGCACCCCCACTATTCTTCCCACCCCCCGCACCCCCCCCCCACCCCCGAAACTTTTTACTCCCAAGCCCAACAATTCATACAGTACAAGGAACATCCCCATTTCTTAAGCCAACCGTCCTGCTGCCTGTACAAAAGGACTTAACTAATGAAGTGCTTCTGACTTTAAGCGTTGTCATGGAGGAAATGCAGCAACCAGTTTGGACAAACAGCATGAGTGTGGGATTGGCCAGAAAAACGTTTCCGGCTTCTCCTCAAAGTAGTGCCATTGGTTCACGAATGTGGCCTTGAGAAGGCAGTCGAAGCCCGACCTGAAAACAATGAAAGCTTCTTCTGTGCTGTATCCAGACTGCATTTTGAACCCAGGGCCCAGTATAAAGGTGTCTGTGAAACGGCATCCAGGCTGGATTTGAATTTCCGTCCTGGACCGAGTCCGAAAGCTTTGAGTTAAAGTAGTATCTAATAATGCCAATATTCCCAGCTGGAATAGATGTTTGACAGGAAAACTGCCCAAGCATGCCTGTAGATTATGCTGCTACAAGTAACTCTGATTTTACAGATTTATATTATCCTCACTTTTTTTTTCACTAGAGAAAGCAACTTGCTTTTATTGGGAGACATTATTTCAATCAAGAATTTCATTTTCTGCAGTTTAGAAACATCTTTTTCTTTTAAAATAGACTGTGTATAGTGTTTGCTGTGTGTCATGCAACAAGTGTACTCTTGTAATTCATTTAATGACAGCGGTCTGGGTAAATATTCTAATTTTAATGAGCCAATTTTTAATATTTGTGAGATAGGTACTGCCTTCCTTGTTAACCTACACTTCCCAATTTCACTTTTATAATCTGATGGTTTGACATCAAACATTGATCTTTCTTAACGTGGACGGCTTACCAGAGACTATACAGCCAGTAACTCTTTCCGTAATCCATCTCTGACAGGTGACATGTACACACCTGAAGAAGGTGAGCCCGAGCCTGATTGGGTTAGGAATGAAAAAGAGCAATTCCGTGACTTCCGTGACACAAACAAGGATGGAAAACTTGACCACAATGAGATCGAGCATTGGATCCTCCCCGGAGACTATGATCACACAGAAGCAGAGGCCAGACATCTTATCCACGAGTCTGACAAAAACCAGGTCAGTTCATAGGTTGTTGCCAACATCTTGCTATCCCTCTGAAACACGATGTTTCTTCCCCACACCCTTGACTTGCTCCCATTGTTACAATAACATCTGTCTCTATCGCAATGCACTCAACTGCACCGGCATAAATGAGAGAACTACTATCATCTCATTATGTTTGTTACACTCTCTCTCTTTCTTTCATACTCACTCTTCCATCACTCCTGCCCTTGTCTCATAAGAACATAAGAAATAGGAGCAGGAGTAGGTCAAGTGACCCACAGAGCCTGCTCTGCCATTCAATAAGATTATGGCTGATCTTTTCATGGACTCGACTCCACTTACCCACCCACTCGCCATAACCCTTAATTCCTTCATTGTTCAAAAATCTATCTTTGGCCTAAATATTAATGAGGTCACCCTTTTTAAGTTCTGCAATCGCTCTTGCTCTGTGTGGACACTGTCTTGCACAACCCACTGCCCTGCGTCCCTTTTATTCTCTAATCTTTCACTCTTTTTCACCACCACCCCCTCCCCCACCCTCATGTTTTTGCCCATCCATGTGTCCCTGGTGAAAGAGCTCTCCCGTAAGCTTCAAAATTAGTGGAGCTACAGGGAACTGAGCAGGGGCTTAGCAAGACTAATAAGACAGCTCTTGTAAAGAGGAACAATGGGCTGAATTTCATCCCTTGGGTTCTGTTTAGGTTTTTTTAAATCTAATGGCCCAGGTGAGATCTACAGAAGAAATTCCAATATTCTACTGTTCCAATTAATTCCCAATAACTTTTTGGTCACTTACTTTCTATGGTCTCTGTATTTGCAGGATGAGAAATTGACAAAGCAAGAGATTTTAGACAACTGGAATATGTTTGTTGGCAGCCAAGTGACCAATTATGGGGAGGATCTGACACGTAAACACGATGAGCTGTGATCCTTGATGCACAATTTCCCATCAATGAACCCATCGGAATTGGCACCAATCCAAAGGAATTGCATTTTTTTTATTTTGCCTAACCCAAGACGTGTCTAATTTGAATTGTGATCAAAATTGTTAATTGTATTTATTTAACTGATTCATTAACCCTCTGTGGGAGTGAATTTCCATCAAGTTGACCCCCACCCCAACACCCAAAAATGTGTTCTGGTGTAGAACTCCATACAATGCCCATCTGACTGCCCCATCTACTATAAGCCACGTGAGGTCCAAGTATTAGATTAAATTTGACCTGAGTTTTAATTGGTGGGTTTGCAAATGTATTTATCCCAACACGGTTTTCAAATTCCAGAGGAAAGATTTCTCTTTGAGAATCCCTTCGCCAGCCGGGAAATCTTTGCCATTCTTGTTTTCTGTGGGGGTGGGGGGAAAATTTGTTCAAAATCAGTGGGCAGTTGGGGCAGGTACTGCACACAATCCTGTTCTAGTTTGAAATTAAGCAATCAAAAAAAAAATTGGGACTAGCAGCCCACAAAATGCAGTGTAAGAAAAGTGAAGCCTTTCAAAGGAAGAGTACACATTTTTAAATTAGAGATGCTTTGAGGGTGATCCTGTTCTATTGCAAAAGTGTTTGAAGCCAGTGGGAGCTTGATGGAAAATTCATTTCTCACTGCATCCAATCTAATACCTGGCAGGTGAAGTCTAGGAGTATCTAAATTAGGAAGGGTGCTCTTAACCCCATGCCTAATGAGTGGTGCTCCCAGCAGCCAGCTATTTACTCACTTAATGTAGTACCTTTTTTTGCCTTGATGGGATATGTTTGGGGGGAGGGAGAGAGGAGTGTAAATGGGTGTACAAGAAAGGGGAAACCATCCCAAATAATAGATGCTAATCTGTGGTGTGTGTGTATGTGTGTGTGAGCGAGCGAGTCTGCCTGGTGTTTGTCCTCTGTGGGGACCTGTGCCATATCGTGACACACCAGATCCAGTTTTGATAACAGATGTCTGAACTTTGATGGGTTGAGAATGAAGGGGAGCATTTGTTTTGGGTCCAGTTTTTTTTCTGTTCTGTTTAAGAGTGTTGAATATAAAAGTAGTTTTCTCCCCTTGTCCCCAAGCCTTGCTCAGTTCTGCTCACTGTATAGTGTGTCTGGGTACTGTCATTAGAACAGTGATTGTCGACTTTATTTTCTTTCCTGAAGCTCCATTTTTGTCCAGTATCTCCTGTTGGAGGACAGGAAGTCTGTCATTAATAGAAGGTTGGTCTTATGAGGGAGTGAAGGGATGAGAAGCAGGAATTGCCCAACTCTCCATTTCTAAAAGGTGTAGCATTGCTGCAGAGGAGAGCTGATTCAATACTGACCTAAATGTGTAGGTTCAAATGTTGGATGTGTATAAAGCTGCTGCAGGCTTTAAAACTCCCTGATTTCCTAGTAGGAAAGATCTGCCCATATTTAATGTGCCTTAAATACCTGGAGAATTTTAAAGCCTGGAATGCACACCTTGTATTGGTGCCTTTTTTCTTACCTCCAAATAGGAATGTGTAGCTTGTTACAAACACTAATTCACTTTTTATATTATATTGAAAACCTGTGAATCCCACTCTGATACTGAGCTGCATGTGGAGAGCTGGAGGGTCCCAGGAACAGATACTGCCCCAGATTTGAACAGACTCTGAGAAGGGAGCTCCGAGTGCGAGTCAGTGTCACTTCGGCTCATGCTGTGTTAGCAAAGATTGTGCAATCACCATTCTTGCTACTGCTTTTCTGAATAGCAGATGGGAATGCTGCTTCATTACATGGCAGTGAGATACTCCATTGATTGCCTGATCTACTCTCTACATGCAGGTAGAGTGGCCTCTGTAAGGTGCCATCATGAGAAATCATTCCCCTCCCCTCGGAACAGGCTTTTGAATGGGGTCAGGGAGGCGGGGTGAAAATATACTAAGAAAAGCTATAATGTTAATTGATTCATTCACACCATGTGGACCTCAAAGACTGTTGTCAGGAGCCGTTGCAATATGTTACTGAAAATCCATTGTATTTTTTGTCTTATGCCATTGTCCTTTAGAGATTAAATTTATAGAATTGTACTGTATTTTGAGAGGCTGTTCCTGCTGTCACCTTCATTCTAACATGACGTCTTGCTTCTGTGTTAGGATGGCAAACTTTCAAAAGAAGAAATCTTGGAGAAGTATCACAGATTCATAGGGAGCACTGTGACAGATTTTGGAGAGTTGATGGTTCAACATGATGAGTTTTAACCAGCACTGATCACTGAGTCTCATTTTCCCATCATTGTTGTATGTAAGAAGCTGTGTAGTTTCCTGTCATTTGAAGGGTGGGGAGGGCTAGATTTTAACTTGTACAAGAATGCAGACACTCTCTTAATTCACTTCTTTTGAGGATTTTGTCCCAGCTCCTTTATCAGTCCTTACTTAATCCTCGCACCTTTATTTCAATGCATCTTCCACTTTTGCAGAGCCAGATTTTAGCAGATTAAGGTTTTGGTAATCTTGTGACAAATTGAGGATAGGAAGAGAAGGGAGTGGTATAGAGGAGAGGAATCCTTGTGGTTACGTGTGAGGTTTGGCACTGGGGTGTGTTTGTTGGCAAAGGGTATATTGGATATTACAAAGGTATTTGTGGCATAGTATAATGTTACTGGACTAGTTATTCTGGAGCTCAAGTTTCACATCCCTGGAGTGGATTCGTAAACTCCATTAATATAAGCTGGAATTGAGTTTGTCAGAACATGGCTATTGTTGCTAGTAACTTTTTTTTAAACCAACCGCCTGAGTTCGAAAATGTCATTTGGGAAAAGAAATATGCTATCCTTACCTAGTCTAACCTACATGTGCCTCCACACCCACAATGTGGTTGATGTTCAACTGCTCTGAAGGGCAGTTGGAATAGGTAACAAACTTATGAAACAAAAAATGTGAAGTAAACTGCATCTAACCATGGAGTATGAGCTGGGTACACAACAGCTGAGGTTACCATGATGTTCCCACCTCCTCAACCTTGCCTTAAGTGTGGTGACCCTCAGGTTAAACTACAACCATTATCTCTATCTATCTCTCTTAACAAGAGAGCAGCCCTCCAGTCTTCTGGGACTATGTCCACTTTACCTTTGACAGGTATAGCTGATGTTGACACATGATTCTCTCTGTGACACTATTACCCTTTCTCAGCTCGGAAGTTCCGCTCTGATCCTGGTGTGAACGTTGCTGTTGGGTGCCATTGAGAAGAACCAGCTAACTCCCAACAACCACGCAATGGAACACCTACTGAAATAATTGGTTTGACCAAGTTAAAACTCCTGTAAATTATGTCATTACTCTCTGTCCATGCAGTACAATGTACCCTTTGGTGCTTGTTGGCTCTGAAAGGCTTATGGACACCTTCATTTAGTTCCAAGGTCACCCAGACCTGAACAAGGCTGGCCTACCTCCCTAATGAGGAGGAAAGCGTCAGTGAAGCTTGGAAGTATGTTTCTCAATGATGGTAACTTCCTTCAATCCTTGTGCCCTGCTGTGTGTTTGGAATACAGTGTCCCTACCTTTGAACCAGGAGGTTTAGATTCAAGTCCAACCTGCTCCAATGGTGTGTCATAACAGTTGGGGGGTGGGGGCGCAGGTTTAAAAAAGTCTACAAACACACCAGCTACAGATTATGTGGAAAATACAGTGCCATTGACCTTCCCAACCCTTCATATTAAGACAAAATTCCATCACTAAATTCACCTCATTTGAATTATTACATCCCCTGAGGTGACTATTCAGCCTCTGAAGCTGGTCCCAACTTGCTGTAGACTAATGAAGTCAGTCTCATTCCTCCCCTTTATTCCCTTAGCCCTGCAGGCTTAGTCCCCTACATATCCATCCTACTAACCTTTAGAAACTATTCTCCCTTCTTCCATCACCCTCATGGGTTGCGTGTTCCAGAACATAAACTGCTCACTGTAAAAATGATTGTTGTCCTCCTCCCACCCCACTTACCTAACTACATCTCCCTATATCCACTTCCCCACCTCTTGAACCATCAGCAAACAGGAACAGCTATGTCTACCTTCACCAAAACCTATCTTTGTAAAATCTCCTTTGCTTCAGGGAGAACAAACCCCAGGTCAGAGTCCACAATCCACTCATTGTTCATCAGAGGTGAAGCTTGGCAGCAATTGGTCTTCTAATTCTTAGTAGGGTTGCCAACTGTGGTTAAATGCATTCCTGAGGTTAATTACATGATTCCCCACCCCCCCTCCAATTCAACATTTTTATTTGTGATGATGTGGGTCCCTGAGTTTGCTCATTGCTCCAGTCTGGCCTTCAATCTCTGGGCAATCCTAGAAGAACTGGCTGTAATCGAGTCTCGGGGAGAAGTAGACCATCAAATTGGGCCTACTGCCCCTGATTACTAAACTCTGACCCTTACAGTGATGGAGCCCACACTCTGGCTGCAGTTGCTTTTTGAGCCATTACCAAGAAAATTCACCAGTGAATTTTGAGAGTCTGTAGCTTTGGAACTGTACCCAAGTGAGAGTCAGCCTCCAAATTGTTGTGTGGGTGAATGTGGTAATGGGTGTTGGTGGTGGGGGTGTGAGGGAAAGAAAGAGAATACCAAACTGCTTTGAGCCCCACAGGTTTTCAGAATTTGCATGTCACTGTTGTATTTAGGAGAATCTAAGATGCACATGTGGGAATAGTATCTCATCCCGTGTTACCAACTTCTGTGCCTTTAAGAGTTTGTCAATAAATCTTTTATTAAAAGTTAACTTTGTGTGTCTTCTTCAACACAATTGTGAAAGCTTTCCCCCCACCCCACAGCCATATTAAAGCAATCACATTGATAGTTGGTGATAATGCTCTAACTGTTGTCAGTCATTTTCAAACTAAGTTTACATTTTTAAATGACACTGCAGCATCCTAACTGAGTTTATTTCCTGCATCCTTCAACGGCCCTACCGTCTACCAAAGAGACTGCCACAGGCAGAAATGTTGTGGTTAGATAATCAATATTACCCTCTAAAAGTGATTTCCACAACCCTGGCAAGACCCAAAGTGTTTTGCAGCTAATGCAGTACCTTTCAGGTGTGGTCAGCCCATTTGCACACAGCAAGCTGTCAATTGTGCAAAGTGATAAATGACCAGATCGTTTGTTGAGGTTCAGCTGTGATACTTGCTGTGGCCAAAAGGCTCCTATGATCAGATAGCTTGCTAGTATTCACATGTAACACCTAGAAAAGATCAAGGGCTAAGGACAGAATAGGAGGCCACTCTGCCCCTCAAACCTATGCCACTATTTAATAAAATCATAGACAATCCTTAACTCAGCATTCTTTTACCAATGTCCCTGCCCTTCCATGAAACACCAAGGATTCAGAATATAGTTCCATGCCCCTGGCTATCTCTCATGTGTGTGCACACACAAGAGAGCCTGAATAACAAGTAGAAAACAGCCTGACTGAGGTTGGCTTCATAGCTAAGCACAACTTTTGTCCCCACATTACATTGAGATGAGCACTAACAAGTCACTTGATACTGATGATTTGGGAGCTTTACTGACTTAACTCACCCACCCGGGGATTGAGGGCAATTCTTGCTCAGTTGCCCCAGTGTATACTATCTACAAGACACATTGCAGAAATTCACCCAAGATCCTCAGCCAGCACCTTCCAAACCCATCGACCACTTGAAGGATGAGGGCAGCCGACATATGGGAACACCACCACCTGCAAGTTCCCCTCCAAGCCATTCACTATCCTGACTTGGAAATATGTTGCCTTTCTTTCGCTGCCGCTGGGTTAAAATCCTGGAATTCCCTCCCAAATGGCATTGTGGGTCAAGCCACAGCAGGCAGACTACAGCAGTTAGAGGCAGCAGCTCACCATCACCTTCTCAAGGGCAACTAGAGATGGGCAGTAAAGGCTGGCCCAACCAGCAACACCCACGTCCCACAAATGAATAAAAAAAGAGAAACTGTTAACGTGGTGCATGATAGCTAAGCTTATGCCCTTGATCCACACTTCACCTGCCTTCATTCTAACAAAAGCAGAGTGTGAGAAGAGAGTAACTTTATTAAAATATATCAACAAAGCACGAATGTGTTTGGAAATAAAAAGTGACCAAAAAGATTAAATGACATTATGACTGGCTCCCTAGCTGGAGGACAGCCCCATAGTAACAGAAGTGGGAGTGACGGGTTGATGCACACCAGGGACTCCTGGTCATTCCTGTGTTTTCTTAGATTATTGTGCATTTTTTAAACAATTTGCAGAGGGGTTGTAGTCACCAGTGAATGTCTAAATCATTTGTAAAGTAGAGTTTAGTACAAAGTGTTGATGATGGGAGCAGGAAAATATCCACTTGTTCATTCAGGCACCTGATGGACAATGGGCTCCAATAACTGCTGTGTTGTTATGCCTGCATCACTGGCCTCGACTCCTTGGCTTCCAATTTCACTCCGGAACCTGCAAATCCAGTCCCGCCCTGTGCCCAAAGAAACAACTGGTTAGTAAGAACCACGGTCCGTCAATCTTTCCTTTGCAGTAGCTAAAAGGTGACAAATCCAAAGTCCTCCAGCAGAAAGAAGTTAATTATGTAGCATCCTCAGGATGTGCAAGAGTACTTTGCAGTCAATGACATTCCATATGCAAAAACAGAAATTGCTGCAGAAACTCAATAGGTCTGGTGGCATCTGAGGAGAGAGAAACAGATCTAACATTTCAAGTCTAGTGGCCCTTCAATTCTGGACTCGAAACATTAACTCCGCTTTCACACCACAGATGCTGCCCAATCTGCTCAATGTCCAAGTTTCACATTTCCAGCATCCACAGTTCTTTGATTTACTTTCTGTGTGCTACTGTTTTGAGAGCAATTCTTCTGCAGTTAAATAATTCAACCAATTTCCCACAACCAAAACACACACACACACACACACACACACACAGACTGTAAAAAGAGAGCCTGCTCTACCTTGCCTCATACAATAATGGGTTAATTTATTTTGGTCATGTTGATTTGGTGGTGGCCAGGTCACCATAGTAGTCTGGGGTCTTCAAATTACATCATGGGAACTTTAAAGCCCAGCTCAGAGGTCAGACAGGGCCCTGGTTTAATGTCTGAGTTGAAAGTTGGTACCTCAGACAGTGCAGCACTCCCTCAATATTGCACTGGAGTGTCAGTCTGTATTACGTGCTCAAGTCTCTGGCATGAGACTTAAATGCAAGACCTCTCATGAGGCAGGAGACAACACCGAGTGACGTTACTGTGAGATTTGTCATGTTTCATCCACTGACCCACATTCCAGTTCTTCACATGGTCACCATCGTGCTTCCTGATTCTGTTACCATGCAGAATTAAAAACTGTTATTCAGAACGTATGATCTAATGGAATTGTAATAAAATGGATAGCTTTCACAGAGCTACCATTCACGGGATAGGTTGTCCAGTCGTTTTCTGGGCTGATAAGAGCCTCTGGAATGAACTGCCAGCCGATGGAGTATGAACTCATTCTCTGAAAGCCTTATAAAAGGGAGTTGGATTAACAACTGAATCAAGTGTCAAGCATGGGAGGCGATGGCCTTGTAGCATTATGTGGACTGTTAATCCAGAAACCCAGATAATGTCATGGGACCCAGGTTCAGATCCATTGAGTTCAACTGAAGTCTGGAATTGAGAATCTAATAATGACCATTGTCGATTGTCAGAAAAATCCATCTGATTCACTGATGTCCTTTAGGGAAGGAAACTGCCATCCTTACATGGTCTGGCCTACATGTGACTCCAAACCCACAGCAATGTGGTTGACCCTTGACTGCCCTCTGGGCAATTAGGGACGGGCAATATATGCTGGTCTAGCCAGCGATGCCCTCATCCCATGAAGGAATGAAATAAAAACACACATTGCCAGTGTGCTTTGTTGAATTAAGTCTCAATCCACGCAAGGAGACAGAGAACTTTCCAAAGAAAAACTTATTGTCCCTCTATTTTGTTCTGTCCAGGCTTTGTCACCCCTGGGGATTATCCAGTTGCAGTGAGTAGGTTGGATGTACTGAACCATGATACAAGGGGTGTTCTAGTGTATTTTCCTGTGCTGCTATGCGGCACTCAGTCAGATCTGAAAAGGAACACACATGTGTACAGCTGAAACAGGACACTTTTGCTCACCCTTTGAATCGGGATGATGTCCTTCTCCGTCAGTTTCACCCCGCTGATCGGATCCACCATATCATGTTTAATCAGTTTCTCCACGCACTCCATGGTGACCACAGACCCTCTGCAAACCAGTTGGAAAAAAAACAATAAACTACATGAACGATCATGGTCCCCAGTGCTCAATCACTGACACCATCTCATTGCTGACTGAAACCACACTTCTGTCACAATGATGCCACCCTCCAACTAGGGAGTTAATGATAATGTCACAAGAACCAACAGCAGTGGTGGACCACATGGATTATTTAACCTGCTGCACCATTCAATATGATCATGTAATACAAAGGCACAGGCTAATACCTCACCTAGGGAAATGGGTTCAAATCCCACCATGGGGCAGCACGGGGTTCAGTGGGTAGCATTGCTGCCTGACAGCCCCAGGAACCCGGGATCGATTCCACCCTCGGGCGACTGTCAGTTTGGAGTTTGCACATTCTGTCCGTGTCTGTGTGGGTTTTCTCCAGGTGCTCTGGTTTGCTCCCACAGTCCAAACATGTGCAAGTTAGGTGGATTGGCCGTGTTAAATTGCCCATAGTGTCCCAGGAGGTCCAGGCTAGCTGGGTTAGCCATGGGAAATACAGAGTATAGGGGATAGTGTCGGGGGGTAGGGTCTGGATGGGATGCTCTTTGGAGGGGTGGTGTGGATTCGAATGGGGCCAAATGTCCTGCTTCCACACTGTAGAGATTCTATGATTCTATTCTGTGGTAGCTTGTGGTATTTAAAATCAGTTCTTTAGAAACATCTAGAAAACGAAGCTGAGAGTTTGGGGTCTTGTGACACAGTGGTAGCTCCCCTGCCTCAGGGCTATAGGCCTGGGTTCAAATCCCATATGCTCCAGAGATTTGCTAAAACATGCCTGAACAGGTTGGATTAAAACATGCGTAAAAGTGAAAATCTCAGTAACAGTAACCACAAAATTATCACTGATCATCTCTCATGACTGTTGTCTGAGTGTAATGGGGTCACAGGTTCAAATCCCACAGCCACTCATGGCATTTAAATTCAATTTTAAAAAATCTGTAACAGAAAGCTAATCTCAGTAACACTGAGACAAACATCAACAATTGTCATAAAACCCACAAGGAGGTGTGTGTATGACTAGTTTTTTTTTTTTAATGAGAATGAGGTGGCGCTATATCTCCAAATGACCAGATATATTCAAAACAATGTTCCTTCTGGCCATGGCGAGTTTAAGGCTCGCACTCTCCAGGTTTCTAGGCAAGTACCGGAGCCACTCCACCCTTCCTGATAACAGCAAATCTGTTTGGAGCCAAAGTTAAAGGGGACATGGACCACAAATGGACCTGCATGATATCGCTGGTCAACTGGCTACCACTGTTAGGCACTAGAAGCCAATCAACTGATAACGCTGTAGTTGATCCCTCAGCAATGTGAGGGATGGTAGATTTCCAGATCCACGGTCTTTCCTCTGCCAAAGGCAATGGAAAAATGAATAATTTGCATTTGTGTAGTGCCTTGAGACAAGGCCAAGGCTCGCCACAGGGAGTGGTTATCAAACAATATTCAATACTGAGCCTATTATGAAATATTTAAGTGACAACAAGCTCATGAAAGAGATGGTTTGAAGCAACAATAAAAAGGAGGACAGACAAGTTAGGGTGAGGATCTCCTGAGTTTAGATCCCAGGCAGGTGAAAATGTGCACGAGGGAAGAATGTGAAGAGCAGATGATTGTAGTTGGTTATAGAGATTAGGAGGGGGACACAGGGTTATGAATCAGGAATGAGGTGTTGCAGGAGGTGGTGGGCAGTAGTCCACAGGGCACTTACGACGGTCGAAGAACAGCACATGGCACAGAGTTTCCCAGAACATCCCGTGTCACCGCACAGACATAGCGCTCCTGCCTCGTGATCAGCTGTACGCGGTCCAGCTTACTGTCAACAGGCAGGAAATTGACAGGAATCAGGTCTTTCATCTTCAGAGGCTTCCCACTCATTGGGCAGTAGATAGTCTTATCCTGCAAGAGGCAAAAAAGGCAGCATTAAAATTCAGACACACTGTAAAGAGAGGGCTGTGTCAAGCTTATGGAAGAGTCCCTCATTTTATTCCCCATAGCAGCTCTCTCTCTCATTAATCCCAACTCCTGTCCCTATCTCAATAAGCCCTAATGAATATACATTACTTTAGAGATGAAATAGGGATGTAGGCCATTTGGCCCATTGAGCCTCCTCCACCATTCAATATGATCATTGCTTCAACTATCACTTGACCTCAACCCCAGTCCCAATTCTCTTAATTCCATAAGATCTCAAAAATCTTGGTCTTAAATATTTTCCACAATAGAACATCCACAACCGTGGGGCAGCATGGTGGCTCAGTGGTTAGCACTGCTGCCTCACAGCACCAGGGACCCAGGTTCGATTCCACCCTCCGGCAACTGTCTGCGTGGAGTTTGCACATTCTCCCCGTGTCTGCGTGGGTTTCCTCCGGGTGCTCCAGTTTCCTCCCACAGTCCAAAGTTGTGCAGGTTAGGTGGATTGACCATGCTAAATTGCCCATAGGGATGTGTAGATTAGGTGGTTTATAGGGGCCGGGTCTGGGTGGGATGCTCTGAGGTTCGGTGTGGATTTGTTGGGCCGAAGGGCCTGTTTCCACACTGTAGGGATTCGATGATTCGATGAACCCTCCAGGATAGAGAATCCCTAAGACACAAGACATTGGTTGGAGAAATTTCTCCTCATCTCAGTCCTAAATCATTGCCCCTTTATCCTCAAACCGTGTTCCTCTTTTTTCTAGGTTGGCCAGCCCAGGGAAACAGCCTCCCAGCATCTCCTCTATCAATCCCTTCATAATCTTGAAGCATTCGATGATATCACCTCACATTTTAGACTATCAAAGCAAGTTAACAAAAGACAATTCCTCATCCCAAGAACCAGTGAACTTTTGTTGTGACTGCATCCGAACTAAAATGGAGACCAAAACTGCACACAGATTCCAGGTGCAGTCTCACCAAAACTCTCAATTCATTGCCATTTGGCTTTCTGTGCTACCATCTCTCTAGAACCAAGTCTGGTATTTCTTTTCAAAACCTGTGCTGTAAAAGGAGCAAACTAGGGGACTGATGCGACATACGAGCTTTTCGCTATCCAGATGCATATGTTAAAAGACTTGAGCATTCACACATTCCCTGTCTACTTTCAACAGCAACTTCTTTTATTCTTGTATTCCAATTTGCTTGCAATAAAAGCTAACATGCCATTTGTCTTCCAACTGCTTACTAACTTACTCTATTCCTTGCACGAGTGTGCCCAAGTCACTCCAACATTAACATTTACAAGATCCACAATTTTTAAAACTAATTCTGCTTTACTATTCTTACAGCCAAATTGAGGAATCTCTCACTTTCCCACATTATGCTCCATCTGCCATATTGTTGCCCACTCACTTAACTTGTCAATGTCTATTTGAAGCCTCCTGTGTTCTCAATTTGTTTGATGTGTATGGTCCTCTGGAACAGTGCATTGTACATTTTCACAACCCTGGTCTGCACCTATCAGTGAGCCACCAATGGCAACCTTTCACTGGTAGTCGTTCCTTTGCTCTAAGTGCTATTGTACCTCACCAATATGACCCAAGTATTTCATCAAGTGTGGCCTGGAGGGTGCCCCACTCACACCTCAGCCAGACTGTGATGATCTCTAACAAGGGCAAAGAGATACAAGATAAAGTAAGTGGGGCTGAACTGGAGGATCGTGGGATGGAGAAGAATGGGCACGGCCAGATCAATATGCAGACCAGGAACAGTCAACATCAGTCTCAGCAGCAACGGTCTGCCCAAATCCTCAGTACCAAGACAAGGACAGTCAACTGGATGAGGTGTTAGGAGATACATGGGCATCTCTGGAAACATTTGAAAGAGACAGTTCCGAGGGAAGACACACTCAAATGTTGGGAACGGAACACAGTGTGTTAGGCGAACAATTTCTGATCTCTCACAACACAGAATTGTTTGCCCTGCACATTACACTTTTATAACTTAAACATTTCAATATTATCAGATGAACACTGTTGTGCCTCCAGCCCTGAGAAATCTGAACTGGCTTCAGATCACAATTTAGCTTTCTGTGCCACCATCTTTGCAGAATAAAGTTTTGTAGCTCTTTTCAAAACTCATGCTGTAAAAAGAGCAAACTAGGGGACTGATGTGGCATGCCAGCTTTTTAACATGTGCATCTGGATGGCAAAAGTCTTCAGCTTTCACACATTCCCTGCCCACAAAAATGAAAGTTTGCCTTTATAGCTTTCCACATTTAAAATGGGAATATCTTACGCAGATGTGACATTATAATTACAATGTTCCACCAGTGAGGGCAGTATACTGCAGCAAAACAGTTTCTGCCTCAATTAGTTCCAATATTCTGCATCACAACTTATCATTTTTCTTCTTAACTCTAAATAATATCAAATCACTTCATATAATGAGGGAAGAATGGACTCTCAGACCCCTCCTCTTAATTTCTCCCATCCTTTCTTCTGTCTCTGAACTCAAGGCACTAGATCCAATACAGATCCACAAGCACCAGCAGTTCTTCTCTACCTCATACAAGGGACGACTGCTTTCCATGCAGTCCCTATATTGTGACAGTGACTACCTTTCAAGCGTAAATTTACTCTAAGTCACTCTAGCACACCATGAGGGTGTGAAAGGCACTGTATAAGTACGAACTGGTTAGGCCACTTTTGGAATTATGCATTCAATTCTGGTCTCCCTGCCATAGGAAAGATGTTGTGAAACTTGAAAGGGCTCAGAAAAAATTTACAAGGATGTTTCTGGGGTTGGAGGGATTGAGTTATAGAGAGAGGCTGAATAGATTAATTTAGGATATCTGGTCGGGATGGACAAGTTGGACCGAAAAGTCTGTTTCTGTGCTGTAAAGCTCTATGATTCTAAGTCTTGCCTTTCTGTGTGCCTAGATAGGAATGGTGGCTGACTATTCAATTTTGGACAGCTTCCTATCCCAAGTCCCCATCTTCCTCTCCCTCTCTCACAATAGCTGCTATCAGTGGTTCCGGTAGTTAACACACTTCCTCCTCAATGCATAAATACCACCCACTCCTCAGTGCAAGCTAAAAATTCTTGCAAATGTGGAACTCAAAAAGGTCAGATTCAATTAAAGGTCATGAATCATATCATTATATCAAGAAGAGTAAATGTAGGAATTTAGGACAACTCAACAATTATTTTCGATCTCAGTACATGCGAAGTGACTACCTCTAGTCTTCAGGTATATAAAACTTGAACGCAGAAACAATGCAATAAGGTCACTCAACCCCCATTTTAAATAGGTGATGGTTTAGGAGGGACACAGGGTCCTGGGTGCCCTTGCAAGCTTGCTTTCAGTGGCCAGTGCGCAAATGCAACAAGCAATTAGGAAAGTAAATAGCATGTTGCAATGACCTTCATTGCAAGGGGGTTTGAATTCAAGAGCAGGAAGTCTTACTGCATCTGTACAGGGCATTGGTGAGTAGTGTATGCAGTTTTGAGTCTCCTTACCTATGAAAAGATATACTGGTCATCGAGGAAGTGCAGCAAAGGTTCACCAGACTGATTCCTGGGATGGCAGGCTTATCATACAAAGAGAGAGTGGACCAACTGGGTATGTATTGACTGGAGTTTATATGAATGAGAAGGGATCTCATCGCAACATATAAAATTCTGACAGGGCTGGACAGACTGAATGCAGGGATGATATTTCCCCGGCTGGACATCCAGAACAAGGGGCTACAAACTCAGGACTAGCGTTAGCCTGTTTTGGACTGAGATGAGGAGAAATTTCTTCACTCAGAGATTGGTAAACCCGTGGAATTTTCTAGCCCTGAAGGCTGTGGAGGTTGGGTTACTGAATATACCTAAGGAAGAAACAGAGAGGTCTCAAGAGACTAATGAGGCATGGGAAGAGCTTAGGAGTGTAGCATTGAGATGGAGGTTCAGCCATGATCATATTGAATGGCGGATTGGGCTTACCAGCCTATCCTGGGGGCGGGGACAGGAGTGTTGTTTGGAGCAAGCGGATCAAACCAGAATCAATCGCCTCGAAGAATCTTACCGGTTTTCTCATGGCAGACACTTTTGCCTCAGGAGTAAGTGACGGAATCCAAAAACTAGGCAAGTGCTTTTCATTCTCTGGCTGAATGGCTTCTGTGCTGGAACCAGCCTGGGCCTCCCCTAGGGATCAAAGGGCAATTCAGAGGGAAAGGGAAACAAAAAACAAAGACACTGTAAATGGTGCAGATTATTTCAACTTTCCAGCGTCGCTGGAGAGAGACCCTGTTTAGGAGTGGGGAAGAGGTCTTAAATCTCACTGCTGAGTTGCATTGACTTATCTCTATTTCTGAAGGAAGGACGCTGCAAAATCCGGCTGTTTGCATTGATGCCACGATCGAGTCAAAATGTAGCAAATACATCTTAAATCTAAAGCCCCGACTTCAGTCCGAACAGTGCTGCTACCTTTTGTGTTATATTATGTACGAGTTAGCGCAATGTAAGAAGACAGTGTTGTTGTGTTAATGTCACTAGGTTAGAAGTTCAGATGTCCAGTTCATCACTCAGGGGCACAGCTTCAAATCCAGAAACTGATAGAATGTCAATTCAGTAACCAATACATCTTACTACAACTTTTAAAAAGTTAGTTCTAAAAATCTGGAAGTGAAAGCTAATCTCAGTAGCGGTGACCACGTATCACTGCTTTCTTGCAAAACCCCATCCAATTGACTAATATCCTTTAGGTGAAGAAAATCTGCCACCTTTACCCGATCTGGCCCAAGAACATAAGAACTAGGAGCAGGATTAGGCCATTCAAACCCCCCAAATTTGCACTGCCGTTTTATATGGTCATAGTTGACGCCATCACAGCCTCAAATCCACTTTCCTGCCTGTTCTCCATAACCCTTCAACCCATTATTAATGGAAAAAAAAAATTGGTCTATCTCCTCCTTAAATTTACTCAACGTTCCAGAATCCATAACACCCTGGGGTAGTGAATTCCACAGATTCACATATAACATTGATTTCTTACTGAAAGTTTGCAATATAATTCTTCAAATGAATGCACTGGATTATATTTTACTGTCAATAACACCACAACCTTCCATTCACACATCTAATTATTCAACCAACCGGTTTCCATAATTCACAACATGCAACGTTTCGACTAAGATGGCACTTGCAGGATGTTGTATTTAATCTACACGTGACTCCTGACCCACAAGCAATGTGGCTGCCTCTTAACTGCCCTCTGAAATAACCCGAGCTAGCCCCCTCCCCCCGTCAGCACTGGGTCAATTAGGGATGAGCAACAACTGCTGGCCAGCAGCATCCACATCCTGTCAAAGAATTAAAGTATGGAAGAAATAAAGATAAGCAGCAAAAAGGAAGACAGTGATTAGCAGTGCTCCAAGGAGTCTTACAGCACAGGAACAGACCCTTCAGTCCATGCTGACCATAATACCTAACTAAACTAGTCCCACCTGCCTTCACTTGGGCCATATCCTTTCAAACCTTTTCTGTTCATGTACGTATCCAAACGTCTTTTAAATGCTGTAACTACCTGCATCCACCACTCTCTCTGGAAGTTCATTCCACACGAACCACAGTGTAAAAAAAAAAGTTGTCCCTCATGTCCTTTTCAAATCTTTCTCCTCTCACCTTAAAAATATGTCCCCTAATCTTGAAATCCCCCACCATGGGGAAAAGTTACCTGCCATTCACCTTATTTATACCCCTTATGATTTTATAAGCCTCCAAAAGGTCACTCCTCAACCTCCTACACTCCACTGAGAAATGTCCTAACTTATCCAGCCTCTCCCTATAACTCAAACCTTCCATTCCTGACAACATCTTAGTAAATCTTTTCTGAACCTTCTCTTGAAAGGCTTTGCTTCGGGATCTTTTACATTCACCAGAGAGGAGGGGTGGGACCTTACCGTTAATAGCTCAACCAGAAGGTGACACTCTCTCAGGGCTGCAACAATCTGCTTAAAGTGTTGTGTGAATTCACAACTTTCTGATTCTGAGACACGAGTGTAGCTCACTGAGCCCCTGCATGCTTACTAACACGGACTGGTCACACACCAATATAATATAAATAGTTATCCTCGGATGGCCACAGGTCTCCAGTTAAGAGTGCTTTTCTCATTCTTCTATCCAGGAAGGTCACGAGTTCAAGTCCCTTCCAAAGGCTTGAGCACCCTATCTACAGCTGACATTCCTGGGATGGGCCAGGTGCATATTGAATGGTCGGAGGTTCCAGCACTGAGCTGGGCATAGACGATTTCACAGTACCATTTTGAAAAACATGCAGGGCAGTCAGTCCTCCTCAGAAGATATTTATCCTTCAACGACATTATCCAAGTGGTGATCTGATCATTAAGCACATTGCTGTGGGTGTTTGTGGGAGCTTGCTGTGCATAAATTGGCTGCCACATTTTCTCCATTAAACCAGTTCAACAGAATTGGCTGTGAAGCAGTGCTTTAGGATATGCCCAGGGTATGAAAGGCATTACACAAATGCATATCCTTCCTACAGAGATGGACATTTTCACAAGCGGAGTGTTTTTCCAAATCCCCACCAGCAGAGGAACGCATTTCCTGACTGCACATCATCTACCCTGGGACAGCCTACCCTCTTTGGAGCTGAAGGGATTCAGCGGCTTGCTGACAATGGTCGACTCTTTCTCCAGGAATGCTTTGACTTTGGTCTCCTTCTCTGCCTTTGCCAGCTCGGCCAGCTCTGTTTTCTTGATGTTCTTCTGTTTCTCGTAAGCCTATATGAAATTAAAAGAAAAAAATTTTAAAATTCTAAATGCATATGACCGAAGCACTGAATCACACCCACAATTGCCTACAGAACAACAACGTCAGATGCCTCTTAGGTTGATCAAATGGGCAGGATATAGTGTAACAATTTGCACTCTGGACTTTGAGTTCAGCAATCCGAATTCAAATCTCGGTGGAACCATGTTTCATGTTGTCCTTGGAATTGTTAAATTTGGGCAGACGACTGGAAGATACCTGTGGGTTATTTGTTGCTGGAGGACCTTTTATGGGACACAATGATCCACTGCTATTGTCGTTGAATCCAGAGACTGAAGATTGATGTTCTGGGGACCTGGGTTCAAATCCTACCCTGGCAGATGGTGAATTTGAATTCAATAAAAATCTGGAGTTAAAAATCTAATGACGACCATGAAACCACTGTCATTAAAAATCCATCTGGTTCACTAATGCCTTTTAGGGAAGGAAATCTGTCAGTCATTCTTACTCAATCTGGCCTACATGTGACTCTAGACCCACAGCAACATGGTTGACTCTTAACCACCCCTCTGGCTGAATGGGTCAGTCAGTTGTATCAATCTCAAGGTCATCTAAGGAGAGGTACAACACCGACAAAAAAAAGCCTTTCCCAAAGTCACCAGGAGCATGTTCAGGTGAGATCACTGTGCTGTTTGATGTTATCCATAAAGATCAGAAATTCTGAACATGTGGTTAAGATATTTTATTCAATCAAAGCAATGTTAACAAGTCGAGCACTTTATCCAGTTCCCCTTCACTCTATCGAAAGACATGATTGACCCCAAAAAAATGTGAATGGTTTTTAATAGAATGGTACTAGCAATGGGATTTTAGCTACAACGTCAGGTTGAAGAGGCTAGAGTTGTTCTCCTCAGAGACTGGGCGGAGATCTGATCAAAGTGTACAAAATTATGACAGGTTTGGACAAGATCAGAGAGTCATACAGCACAGAAACAGACCCTTTGGTCCAACTCGTCCATGCTGACCAAGTTTCCCCAAACTAAACTAGCCTCACTTGCCGGTGTTTGGTCCGTATCCCTCTAAACCTTACCTATTCATGCACCTGTCCAAATATCACTTAAATGTTGAAACTGAACGTGCATCCACCACTTCCTCTGGCAGTTCATTCCACATACAAACCACCCCCCAGCTCCCTTTTAAATCTTTCTCCTCTCAACTTAAAAATATGCTCTCTAGTTTTGAACTCCCCCACCCTAGGGAAAAGACCATTGCTATTCAGAATGTACTGGATTCAATGCCTATTTATACTCCAACTGCCATGTTTTTGCCTCTCACTGAGCTTGGCTAGATAGCTCTTTGCATCCTCCTCACAGTAAGAATCTAACATTTAAGAATATGAGATGATATTCCCATTATTGGTTGGAACATTTAATCCTGAGATCTTGACAAGATGTTTTCTCGTGGTAGAATCTAGAATTAGAGGTGTCTGTTTTAAAATAAGGGGACTACCTAATTAAGTCAGAGCAGGAGAATGTTCTTTTCTCAGAGGGTTGAAAATCTTCGCAACTCTTCCTCAAAAAGAGGTGGAAGCAAAGTCTTTAATATTTCAAGGCAGTAATAGATTATTAGGGGTAGGTTATTAAGGATAGATGAGAATGTGGAGTTATCAGATCAGCCAGTGTCTTACTGACTGGCCTTGCAAGCTGGAGAGGGGTGAGTGCCCTACTACTCCTGCTCCTAATTTGTATAATTATACACATATTATTTCCTGAAGATCTGGGTAAAGGGAAAGACACTTCAATCCAGTCTTTGAGTCTAACAAATGCAACCCTCTGTCAGATTATGTGGTTAAATCTAGTATATACAATACAGAAGGGGTTATCACAGAATAATTGAAGTACTGAAGGAGGCCAAACTGGCCTCTTGTGTCTGCAACTGCTCTCTGAATGAGTATCTCACTTTGTACCCTTCTCCTGGTAACGCCGTACATATGGGCAGTCCTCAGGTTGTGAGCAGGTTCCTTTCTTGAGTGCATTCGCAAGGCAATTCAACACAAGTCGGAACACAATATAAAATAACCGTTCATAAGAATGGGGAAACTAATTAATATTAATACTAATATTAATTAAAATTACTATTAATACACCCCTGTAAGGGATCTCATTCATAAATTGGGACTGTCTATTGCGCCTTTTCAGTTAGCATCTTATTTCTCTTTTGAATGCCTCTGGTGCACTGTGTATTGCAGAGGCCAACCACTCTCTGCATGTTGAAGTTTTTTCCTCATATCACTTTTGCTTATTTTGCCAATTACTTTAAACCTGTGCTCCCTCGATCTCAATCCTTTCGTGAATGGAAATAGTTTCTCCCTATCTGTTGTGTCCAGATGCTTTATGATTGGTCATTGCCACTTGCTGCGTTTTTAAAAAAAATGTTCTTCCTCATGTTTCAGACCTTGTTCAAAACCTTTCAATCTAGTGCTTGTGCCATCAGTTAATGGAAACAGCGTTTTAAAAGGTTATGCCCCTCCAACACCTAGCACATGCTTTTGCCCTCTTTCAACTACATGCTCTGCTTCAATCAGTGCTAGAAAACAGAATAGATTCCCTCTTTATCAAAGATCAGTGAGTAAGGAAGAATTGACTAGTGATCTTGCAGTCACAGTAACAGTAGCATTGCAATTTGGCCTGACTAGGGAGTAAATGCACTTGCATGGTCTGAAGTCTAATGCTAATTCTTAAAATACAAATTTGAAAATATTGATGGTGTCAGAGCATCACTAGATTTATCTGTTTGTGGTACATAATGCATGTGGAGACCTTTCTCTTCAGTGGAATTAAATGTAACTTGAATTAAAATATTAAAGACTTTCTTCGTCAAAGAGGTGGAAGCAGAGTTGCGAAGATTTTCAACCCTCCGAGAAAAGAACATTCTTCTGCTCTGACTTAATTAGGTAGTCCCCTTATTTTAAAACAGACACCTCTAATTCTAGATTCTACCACGAGGAAACATCCTGTCAAGATCTCAGGATTAAATGTTCCAACCAATAATGGGAATATCATCTCATATTCTTAAATGTTAGATTCTTACTGTGAGGAGGATGCAAAGAGCTATCTAGCCAAGCTCAGTGAGAGGCAAACACATGGCAATTGGAGTATAATGTGGAAAAATGTAAAATTACCCGCATTGGTAGGAATAACAGAAATACATGGATTTTTTAAACGGTTACAGATTGGGAAATGCTGATGTCCAAAAGGGACCTGGATGTCCTTCTCACATGCCTTTAAAAGTTAACATACAGGTGCAGCAGTCGGAGGCAAATGGTAATTTGGATTTTATTGCAGCAGGATTTGAGTACAGGAGTGAATACATCTCAATACAACTGTATAGTGTCTCGGTGAAGTGGTGCATGGAATACTGTGCAGAGTTTTGGACCCCTTACCCAAGGAAGGGCATATTGGCCATTGAGGGTAGATGCAGGAAAGATGTTTCCCCTGGCTGGAAGGTCTAGAATCAGGGGACAGTAACGGAATAAGGGATCGGCCATTTAGCACTGAGATAAGGAAAACTGTCTTCACCCAGAGGCCAGTAAATTTTTAGAATTCTCTCCCCTAGAGGGCTGTGGAGGGTCAGACATTGAATATGTTCAAGACATATCTGTGGGTCTCTGGATATTAAAGGTACTGGAAGATATGGGGATGGTGCAGGAAAGTAGCATTTTGAAGGAAAAGGGCCAGATAGGGCCTGCCCTATTTCCTATGTTCCATTACATAGAGTAAGCGTGTGTCAGAAGCCATTGCTACTGTCCTGTGTACATTCTGTTCATTTGGTGTCAAGTTTTGTTGGGTCTGTGTTTGATGTGTTATTTCTTCCGATCTTCATTACAAAAGGATAAGATTCTCTTATCAACACTAAATTAAAATTCCTCTCTACATTCCTTCCTGCTACAATAAAAGTCTGCCTGAACAGTACTATATGCATCCTTCCATTAAGTTTTAAGCCGCTGATGTACCAGGTCAATCTCAGCAAAAGGATCTAGAGAATTCACATCAACCAGTTTGCCAGTCACAGCACTATCAGCTGTATTCTACCCGAACAAAGATGCATGTGTGGACAAAAGGACAGATTACAGCTTTTGACCCCAATTGCAGTCAGTAGCAAACCAGCACCCACTCACTTGATCCATACTAAAAAATAGTGATTTGAATAAAGTGTGAAAGGACTGATTCCTGTGGAACATCATCCCAGCATGAGCAACCAAGCTCAGGCAGAGACACTGTGGACATCAACAGCAACATCCTCCAATTCCTCTTAATTCATTGATAGCAACAGAGGAAGAGAAAGAGGAAAATGGAGAAAGAATACAGAAAGCACACGAGAGGCTGAGAGGGTTTGAGAAAGGCAGAGGGACAGAAGAAGGGTAGACAGCCAGAAAAGATAGGAAAGAATGATATTCCAGGTGAAGCGGGGTGGCAGGATGGAGAGATGAGAGGGAAATCTACCTTTATTTTCTTAGCAATTTCAGTTTTCTGGTGCAAGATATATTCCAGAATTGCTTCCTTTTCATATAGATAACCATCAGGCCTGCATAACCAAAAAAAAACATGAAATATTCAAGGAAAAATGCTTCACCTTTTCAGTATTAGACACAAATGTATTTACATTGAATAATATTCTGCCCAGGTCCACTCAATGGTGCAGAGGACAAATGCATAATATGCTCCGAGAAATACAGATTTGAAGGTCTAATGCGGAAATCACGGCAGGTTAAGAAATATCTTCCATTTTTATCATGTCTGTCACAAGGTCAGTGCTAAAGTGCTTTACAGCAATAGAATGCTTCTGAAGCACAGACATTGTGGCAAAGTAGGAAATATGGCCACTAGTTTGTACACAGCAGGTTCTCACAAACAACAATGAGATTATAGGAGGGCGGCAACAACATGATTACATCACTGGTCTGGTTACCCAGATTCCTGGACCAATCGGCCAAATTCACAAGTTCAAATTCCACTGCAACAGCTGAGGAATTTGAAGGCAATTAATTAATTGGGAATATGAAACCTGAAACTGCATGGGTAACCATAAAACTTCTGAACTGTTGATCCAACACCAGAGAGAACTCCAGTGTTATTGTCCATTTCTGGCTATAATCATCAACTACCCTGCTACTATTTGTTATCTAGATAGGTATAGATCAGGTTTACTCATTTTGGTGGAAAGATTGCTGAGTTACAGAAAGCAATCCCAAAATACAATGATCTTGGGAATCTGATCTAATAAAAATTTGATTTAGTCACTTGCTTGCACAGAACTTTTGATCTTGCTAAAAAGAGACCTGTTACCAAAATGTTTTGTCTTGCATGCATCAGGACAAATGCAAGAATGCCAAATTTCAAACTGTCTGAACATTTTATACTACAGGAGAAAAGCATGCTGATTGGTTAACAAGTTGACTCTGATTGCTTTCTCCATGACAATGCCTCAGCCAATGGCAAATGACAGACTCCTGAGTAATTCAAAAACAATGCAAGGCTTGGACACATTCCTTCTCTTTGCAGAGAATGGATCCCTGTGAATGAATGCACATCGCTTCTGGCAAGTGTAAATGAGCCATGTTACAAGTTCAACTTATTACTTTAAATAGGTTATCAATGTAGATATTAATGTACTTGGGAATCATCAGTTTCTTTTTATTCATTCACAGATTTAAGGCCTCGCTGGCTAGGTCAGCATTTGTTGCCCATCCCAGAGGGCAGTTAAGAGTCAAACACATTGCTGAGAGTCTGGAGTCACATGTAGTCCAGACCAGGTAAGGATGGAAGCTTCCTTCCCTAAAGGACATGAGTAAACCAGATGGGTTTTTCCAACAACCGACAATGTTTCATGGTTATCAGACTCTTAATTTCAGATTTTTTTTTAAAATAGAATTCAAATACCACCATCTGCCTTGGCAGGATTCGAACCCAGGTCCCCAGAACATTACCGAGGTCTCTGGATTAACCGTGCAGCAATAATACCACAAGGCCATTGCCTCCATATTATCAGCAATATTCAAGAACTTGATTTGCTCAGTCACCATTAGCCTGACTACAGACACAGGAGCTAATGTCACATGTGAGGACACCAGCAGGAGTTGGGTTTGGTCCCAAGGCAGCTGTAGCTTCCAAGAGAGGCGTACCAGTGGCACAATGAGAAGGACTCACGTTATAACTGGATCTTTGCAGGGCTGCAATGACAAACAGCAGCAGTCGAAATCCTTAATGGCATCTTTACTGAGACGCAGGGATTGTGTCCCATACCCCGAAACAGCTGAGGTAGAAAGGAGAATCGGTCAGTTATTGAGATCGCATCACTATGGGCAATCCTAATACTGTGCCCACATGGCCAATGAACAAATCCTGCCTTCAGACCTTGGCATTCACTCGATCACACTCCACAGCAGAGTACTGTGCGCCTGTCAGTCATAGGTCATGGCACAGATACATCTTGTTGACACACAACTGAATACAACAATGTGACATCATAACTGGAACCTTCTGCTCAACACCCCTTCCTGGCTTCCTACCACATTGTCCCACACATCCACCATGATGAAAATCCATGAGCTGGTTGAAAGCATCTGTGCTGTGCCTTCCTTACCCACTCTACAATGACCCGCTAAAACCACTACTCCCATCTCAGCCTGTTACAGCAACCTTCCTGAGCCAGACACATCTGCAAACATTCTTCGGATCAAGTAAACACAGGAAGTCGCAAACAAATTCCTTGTGACAAATCCCCTGTCGATTGGCAGACTTGGAACTATGATGGCAACAGTAGCCCTTGCTAAACAGGTTCAGGACAAACCAAGTCCCTGCACGGCCAACTTCCACCATGGAGGCCTCAGTACAAAATCTATGTACTTCTGGAGATGCACAAATACTGCACATTATTGAGGACTACCCCCCTCTACAGACTAAGTAGCAACTAATTACTTTAAACTCAACAAATAAAGAGACAAATCACTTGGATCCAATGATTTGCATTCACTAAATAAATAATTTGAGAGAAATAGTGCAAACGGTTCAGGTTGAAGACTAGTTTTGGCTCGGATTGTGATATAATGTCTTTGATTTGAAGACATCAGCTCTATGCATTTGTCTCTCCACAGATGTTGCCTGACCTGTGGAGTGGTTTCTAGTTATTCTCCTATTAATTCCAATTGTTAGGAATGGGGGCAAGCCAAAGGTGCTTTTACTACAAAGCCAATTTCACCCTCACCTCCATCTCCCTCCCTCGCTGCTCTCTCAAGATCTGCAGGCAATCTGTGTGTTGTTCAACCCAGAATCTAGCTTTAGAAATGTCCGATCCTGGCCGTTACTTCCACTCAACCTGCAGCACCTCTTCTCCCACTTGACCCCATATCCCAAAGAACAATCATTTCATTAAAAAAAATCCCTAGTTGCCATTTAAGGTGGTGGTTGGAAATGATTTACCTCTTGTCCTACTGTAGTCTGTTCATCTGAACTCCTTTATGATAATGTTTCTGCAGAACTAAAGGAAGATTCAGGATCTAACCTGGTGACAGTAAAGGAGCAGACTAGCTACATCTCCCAGACAGTGGCTTGTAGGGGGATTTGGAGGCATGGGCCTTGAGTCACCTTCCGTATATTGCTAATGTATAGTATTAACTTCAGCCTCCCACCTCCATCCCCATACCTGTGTCCTTTTTCTTCTCGTAATAGGTATATACAGCCCCTGCTGTGCAGTTCTTCCCGTGTCTTGTCATCACTCACACATCAACAGTATGGTATCAGATCTATAAAAGGACAAAAAGATTTCAGCAAGCTATTAGGAAGGCTTTATTACAATATAATTTGAATACTGGAGTAGTGAAGCCTTGCTTCAATTGTATAGGAGCTTGGTTAGGTTCCACCTGGGTATAGCTTTGGTCTCTTTATCTCAGGAAAGATATTATTGTCATAAATAAAGCACAATAAAAAAAAGTAACCAGATCTGTTCCAGGGACAGGCCCAATGAAAAGGAATTGGGCAAACTTGACTTGTACTTTCTTGAGTTTCAAAAGAAAAGACAGGTGGTTTCAAAATAATTCAAGAGATAGACAGGGTAGCTGCAGGGAAGAGGTTTCCCTGGTTGGGGAGTTTAGAAACAGAGGTTATAATTTCAAAATAAATGGAATGCGAGATGAGGAGAATTTTTTTTTTTTTTTTAAAAACTCAGTGCTGTGAATCTTTGGACTTCTCTATCACAGATGATCGTGTGAGTTCTGAGGAAGGGTCACCAGACCCGAAATGTTAACACCGTTTTTTCCTTCATAGATGCTGCCAGACCTGCTGAGCTTTTCCAGCAACTTTGTTTTTGTTCCTGATTTACAGCATCTGCAGTTCTTTCAGTTTATCTTCTGTTTAAGGTAGAGATTGATAGATTTCTGGTTTTGAGGTGTTCAGGGTCATGGGGATGGGGGTGAAGAAAAATCATTGAAGTGTTCAATCAGCTATGATTGTATTGAATGGCAGGGCAGGTTTGACGAGCTGAATGGCCTCCACCAGTTCCTATATTCTGCGAATACGACGTCAATGGGGAAATAGTGGCAAAGCAGTAATGTCACTGGACTGGGAGCATTGGCACCCAGTCTGTTATTCTGGGGTCATGGTGATTTTAAAATTTAATTAAAAAATCTGGAACACAAACCTAGTCTCAGTAAGAGAGACCATATTAACTATCATCAATTCTCGTTAAACATGATCTAGTTCACTAATATCCTTTAGGGAAGGAAACTACCATCCTCAATTAGTCTGGCCTGCATGTTAACTCCAGCAATGTTTCTCTTAACTGCTCTCCAAAATGGCCTAGAAGTCACTCAGTTCAAGGGCAATTAGTGATGACCACATTTCATAAAAGAATAACAAAAAAAGTCAATTGAGGTATTCAGCCTATCAAAACTCAACAAGCTAGAAAAATCTTTAGTGGCAAAGAGTTAAAATCATAACATGATTACGTTACTGATACCTACAAAGAAACTCTTCAAATCTCAAAAACATTCATTTCATATACATCAAAGTTCAGAACAGCTTACAAATTTGGACAAAGAACATGAGAAACAGCTTTCATTAAACAAGAACTGAGAAACCACAATTGACCAGTGAAACCATTCTTTTTTAAAGAAAATTTGCTGAGGGATAAATATTGGCCACAACACAAATGAGAACTCCAATATTCTTCTTCAGGCAGTGACCACAGGATCTGGTACAGCCACCCAGGGGTGCAGACAGTCCCTTGGCATTTTTAAAAATACTTTTACGTGATTGGTGTAATCATCCAGCCAGCATTTATTATCCATCAGAAGGAAGTAGTGAGTGGTCTACTTGAACAGCTGCAATATATTCCATACAAACACACACACAGTGCTGTTAGAGAGAAAGAGAGAGTTCCAAGCGTTTGTCCCACCAACAGTGAAGGAACAGCAATGTACTTCAAAGTCCAAAGTCAAGATGATATGTGGCTTGGAGGGGGACTTGAGGTGTTCCACCATCCAAAAGGTGGCCCCTCTGACAGTGTAGCATTCCACGGATACTGCACTAGACTGTCAACGCTAGACTATGAGCTCTATGGATGTGACAGCAGCACTAATGGACAGGCTGAAAGATACATTAAAAATCTAATGTCCTAAGGCACGATAAAGCGTAGAATAAGGCTATTCTGCCCACAGTACCCGCACTAGCACTTTGATATCTATACAGCCCCACAGCCTTACAAACTTTCCCCTTCAAGCATACATACTTAATGACTTATTCAAAATTATTATTTTTTTCTATTATTACAGACAAATAAATACCAAAATGCTCCCTTAATTATGAATGAATTGACTATTTTCAATCCAAAACTGTACCTTTAAGTCCGATCTCAGACTTAACCAAACAACGCACGGTCCCCAAACAGGAGGTACGTCAAATTTGACCCAACCGGAAGAAAAAGTAGGCACGTTTCCTTCCGGCTCGAGTGGAAGTGTATCCAAGGGCGGTGGTGGCGACCGATGAGCATGCGCACACTTGCATCGCTGTGTATGCGCGGTAAATATAAAATTATTAGACGTAAATATTGACTTAAAACACTCCCTGATGCGTTCTAATGAAGAGACAGGAAGTTTGAATAGGTTTGCTGTTGTATTTACAGCGAGTGGTAGGGGCCTTGACCAAGGGGAATTGAGCAGTTGGTCGAGCGACTGCCATTGGCAGCTTATGCGCCCCCTACAGCTCGGGAGGACCACCCTGCAACTACTTTTCTGTCTACCTGATACCTGGGCAACCCCACTCCTAATTACCTGTATTATCAAAAGTCATTATGAGATCTGTATGTCACAGATTGTTACACTGCAGAAAGAGGCCTTTCAGCCCTTCCTGTATGTTGTGCCTCTCCAAATAACCGTAAGATAGAGTCATAGAGATGTACAGCACAGAAACAAACCCTTTGGTTCAACTCGTCCTTGCCTATATAAATCTAGCCTCATTTGCTAGCATTTGGCCAGCCCCAGCCTATTCAGCCTCTCCCTATACTTCAATCCCTCCAACTCTGGCAACATCCTTGTAAATCTTTTCTGAACCCTTTCAAGTTTCACAACATCCTTCCTATAGGAGTGAGATGGGAATAGCACGCAATACTCCAAAAGTGGCCAAACCAATGCCCTGTACACCTGCAACATGATCTCCCACCTCCTATACTCCATGCACTGACCAATAAAGGCAAGCATACCAAATGCCTTCTTCATTATACTATCTACCTGTGACTCCACTTTCAAGGAACTATGAATCTGCACTCTGAGGTCTCTTTGTTCAGCCACACTCCCTACAACCCTCCCATTAAGGGTATAAGCTGTGCCCTGATTTACTTTGCCAAAATGCAGTACCTCACTTTTGTTTAATTAACCTCCAACTGCTACTCCTCAGAACGTTGAATATGGGCCATTCAGCCATTGAGTGCTCTGCCATTCAATAAGACCGTGGCTGTTCAGATAATCCTCAACTACATTTTCCTGTCTTTTTCCCAGAACCTTTGTTTTCCTGACTAATTAAAAATCTGTCTAATCTCAGCCTTGAATATATATAAAAACACAGCCTTGACAGCCCTCTGAGAGATGAATTCGACAGATTTATTTTCTTTTGAGGCAAGAAATCTCTCTCCATCTCTTGTTAAATGGGCATCGAAAATTTAGCATCTCATTATCCTGCCTTTTCTCCATAACCCTGCACATTACCCCTATTCAAATAATCATCTTATGCCCTTTTGAATGTCTTGATTTGACTTGGCTCCACCATACGTCCAGGATGCACGTTCCACACCTTAACTACACACTGATTGAATTTTTTTTCTCTCACACCGCATTTCCTCATTTTGTCAATTATTTTAAACCCATGCCCTCTCGTTCTTAATCCTTTTACAAGAGGGAATAGTTTCTCCTTATCCTCTCTGTTCATACCTGTCAGAATTTTGAAAATTTTAGTCAAATCTCTTAGTGAGATAAGTCAGCATCTGCTCAAAAAGCAAAAATTCTGTTTGGGTTCATGTCCACTTTTCTTTCTTTTCTGTTTCCAGCATTTCAACAGTTGCAGTTCCCCTTTCATTCCACATCTTTATACAATTGATTATTTTTCTTTATTCTTTCACGGGATGAGGGCCTCACTGACGAGGCAGCATTTATTGCCCATCCTTAATTGCCCTGAGGGCAGTTAACAGTCAACTACATTGCTGTGGGTCTGAGTCACATGTAGGCCAGACCAGGTAAGAATGGCAGTTTCCTTCCCTAAAAGACATTAGTGAAACAGATGGGTTTTTTTGACAATTGACAATGGATTCATGGTCATCTTCAGACTTTTAATTCTGGATTTTTTTATTGAATTCAAATTCTACCACCTGCTTTGGTGGAATTCAAACTCGGTCCTGAAAGCATTATCTGGGTCTCCGGATGAACAGTCCAGCAATAATACCACTAGGCCATTGTCTCCCCCTCTATATAAAATATTCATGGGCGTGGGCATCACTGGTAAAGCCAGTATTTATTACCCATCCTCCTTTGTCAGGTGGTCTCTCAGGATCGAGGATGGCTTCCTTCTGCTCCAGTATTTTGGGTCCTCAGTTGACTAAAATAATTCAGCCCCCAGTTTGGCCAGGTGGTATTAGCTGAGGGGACAAGGGGGGGGTGTTGTTGTTGGGTTGGTCAGATTTCACACGCTTGTTTCATTTGGCACTTTGCTTTTGTCCTCCACTTAGGCCTGTCGGAGACTTTAAAAATGAATGCCACCTTCCTGGATGATCCCTCTCCAATTTGCGTGATCTTTAGGCAGTGGGCATGTTTCATTTCTTTCAGAGAGGCTTTGGGGAAGCTCTTGAAGCATTCTCTTTGCCCTCTTGATAATCATTTGCCATGACGAAGCTTGGAGTAAAGAAATTGCTTTCAGCATCTTGTGTCCTGTTTCAAAGACTGTGCCTGTTCAAGTCAGATCACCATATTCTCAAAGACAATTATGAATTGGGCAATTCATGCTGGCCCAACCAGCAAATGCCCACATCCCATAAAAAAGGATTAAAAATGCCTAATTCCTTGAGAAGTTGGTACTGACTTGCGCCGCACACTTCTTCAATCACTGCAGTCTATGTGGTGAAGGTGCTCCTATATTGCTGTTACGAAGGGAGTTCCACAGTTTAAATACAATGACCGTGAGGAACATTGAAACAATATGTCTAAGTCAGGATGGCAATCTGTAGGATTTTGAGGTTGTGGAATGAAAAATTGCTATCAAAACATATAATGCAGGTTCTGAGTTAGTTACAGAGTCATACAGCACAGAAACAGACCCTTCGGTCCAACTCGTCCATGCCAACCCAAGTCTCCCAAAATAAACTAGTCCCACTTGCCTGCACTTGGCCTGTATCCCTCCAAACCATTCCTATTCACGTACCTGTCCAAATGTCTTTTAAATGTTGAAACTGTATCTGCATCCACCACTTCCTGTGGCAGCTCATTCCACACACAACCCACCCTTTGTGTAAAAACGTTACCTTTCAGGCCCCTTTTAAATCTTTCTCCTCTCACCTTAAAAATATGCCCCCTAGTTTTGAATTCCCCCACCTTAGGGAAAAGACCTTTGCTATTCACCTTATCTATGCCCCTCATGATTTTATAAACTTCTTTAAGTTCATCCTTCAACCTCCTACACTCCAGTGAAAGAAGTACCAGGCTACCCAACCTTGCCTTATAACTCAAGTCCTCCATACCCAGCAACATCCTGATAAATCTTTTCTGAACCCTCTCCAATTTAATGATATCCTTCTTATAGCAGGGTGACCAGAACTGTACGCAGTACTCCAAATGTGGCCTCACCAACGTCCTGTACAACCTCAACATGACGTCCCAACTCCTGTACTCAATGGTCTGAGCAATAAGGCAAGCATACTAAACACCTTCTTAACCATCCTGTCTACTTGTAATGCAATTTGCGAAGAACTATGTACCCGCACCTCTTGATCTCTCTGTTCGACAACACTCCCCAGTGGAGTTGTGTGCTTTGTTAACATTGGTATACAGTTGAATTCAGATTGGGTAAAGAGAAAACAACATTAACTTTTTCTACTGGTCTGATATATATCTATTGGGAACATGGGGTCCTTAGACATCACCTTCCAAAACCCTTGAACCCTACCATCTCAAAGGACAAGATACATGGGAACATCACCACCTGCAAATTCCCCTCCAAACCACACACCATCCCGACTTGGGAATATATCAGCTGTTCCTTCATCATTACTGGATCAAATTCCTGGAACTCCCTCCCTCACAGCATTGTGGGTTGTCTTACACCAAATGGACTGCACCAGTTCAAGAGGTTGGGGTTGGGGCAATGAAAGCTGGCCCAGCCAGTGATGCCTACATCCCATGAATTTGTCAGATAAAAGTGGGATTGACAGTCAAGCAGGTGGCCAATTGTCCAATACCACTAAGATCCCAGGGAAGAATGGCCCTTAGGGTGGGAGACAGATGGCCTTTGGCACCCACGGGAATCCACACTACAAAATAAGAGTTTACTAAGTTAATAACTCTATTTATCAAAAATAAAGCTATGCTCGGCCAACTTATCACAGAAAAGTTGCACTCTGTGATGTCTAGACAATGGAAATCAGACACCAAGGAATCTGGTTATGAACACAGCTTCTTTTGTGTGAAACTACCTGGATGTCTGAAAATGTGGAGCTCTCCGTATGTGGAATCAAATCAGCAGTGAAAACAAGGAGTGGGGGATGGGGAGCAGGGTGGCAGAAAGAACATGGAGGGAAAGCTACTATAGTAACAGGCCACATTTTACACCGGCAAACTAGCTGCCTTCTCTAAAAGAATGTATTCTTCTCAAATATGGAAGTATAGAACTAAAGGCATGAGGGTAGAAAGACAGAGAGAAGACTGGTCTGTGGTTAACCTGACGACTGGAGGGAAATGGTGTGGTGACAGTAATTCACACACACATTCGCCTAACAGGAGCAATTGACTCATTCTCGATATCACAGGGTGTTAGAGATAGGACCCCACCACTTCCACTTTTTATAATTACACACCCTAAATTGAAAAAGACCCTACCTTTCCACGAAATAAATGTAATTTTTCACAATGAACTTACAACAATTTTGTACACATACCTGGATCAGCTGGGGATCCAGAAAAAATTCCATGTGAGTCATGAGAAATCCAGTAGCCCCTGCTGAAAACACACTCCAAACCCTACAAACTAATAACAGCACCAAACCTTGTTGGTGCCCCCTGCCCCCAGCCTGTGGACTTGCCAACTTCACCAACTGTAACGTGGCGATGGACCCAAGTGCTGAAAATCTTAGGTTTGCAAGTACCTTCCATGGAAAGCTTGTGCAACCTTCAACCACTTTGAGGACTTGGAGGAGGCAAATCTCTAATGTGGCCACTTCCTCTGTGAGTTTTACAAACTCAAATTGTAT